CCAGTGTCCGCAAACAACTTGTTTTACAACATGTTATTTCGGTGTCAATTAATAATAACATCAAATACATACTATACATTACACTATTTACATCTATAATATATATATATCAGTTTATTGTAAGCTATAGGTCACTCTACTGTGCTGTAGAACACTAGAAGTTATTTCTTCTAACTGCATTTGCTCTCATTATCCAACTCCTTAATCCATCCACGCCCTTCCTAGCCTCTAGTGATGGAATTCCACCCTCTTTGTATGAGATCAACTTTTATAGCTTCCAAGAAATGATAAATATTTAAGGAGATGGATATGCTAACTACCCTGACTTAACCATTATGTACATGTATCAAATGATCATGCTGCACCCCATAAATATGCGCAACCGGTATGTCTCAATTAAAAATAATACTTTTGGTGGGGCTGGTAGAGTGGCTCAAGTGGTAGAGCGCCTGCCTTGCAAGTGTGAGGCCCTGAGTTCAAGCCCTGGTGCTGCCAAAAAAAAAAAAGTGTTTTGTTGGGTGCTGGTGGCCCACTCCTGTAATCCCAGCTACACAGGAGGCAGAGATCAGGAAGATCATGTTTTGAAGCCAGCCCAGGCAAATAGTTCGAGACACCCTATCTCAAAAAAAAAAAATCATCACAAAAAAGGGCTGGTAGAATGCCTCAAGGTGTAGGCCCTGAGTTCAAACCCCCAGCACCCCTCAAAAATAATAATTCCTTTAAAAAAACCAGCCAACCTTGGTTCTGAGTTCAAACACATGACTCCTTAGCAAGTTTTGGTTGATGCTTCTCTTGGTGCTATCAACACTGAGGTAAGTCGAAGGTAAGGCACCATCCCCACTCAGGTGGACAACAGTCAGGAATAAGTGGAATAGGCACAAATATCCAAATGCATTTGGTTGGTTCAAGTAGAGGCTCAAGGCCTGGAAGATGCCAGGAGGGAAGGGAACCAGTAAGGAAAGTGTTCCAGAAGAGAGGACATTGACGCTGGTCTCAAATGGCAGCCTGGCAGAGAGGACTTGGAGGCCCCGACAGTCCTGCCCCCACCCTGAGCTCCCCAAAGCCTGGTCTGGCCCCTGCTGATTCCCTTATCTATGTGTTCCCAGCTGCCTCCTTGCTAGCTGAACTGTTGCCACAGACTTCTGGGCCTGTGTCCTCTCCACGGGGATGGGGGAGGGAATAGGGTGAGGCCTGGCCTCAGAGGCACCCCACTCCCCACACTTTACTTCCTTTACTAAGCCCTTGGTCCCCTCCAGGAATAAAGAAATGGGGTGTGAATCCAGCGCCAAACCTTTGTCTTAGACATGACACACTGCCTCTCCAATGAGGGTCCACCTACTGGCCCCAAACTTGCAACTCTGTTGCTAATAATAATAGCAATGGTGAGAATTACTGTCTACACAGGACACCATTTATGTTGAGCCAGGTAGGCTCTGTGCTGATTGGTTACATTCTATGTTGGGTAAGGGGGCCTGGGATTATACCCATTTTCCAGGTGGAGCAACTGAGGCTCAGAGGGTGGTTTGCCCAGGAATCAGGCAGCAAATTGGTGTAAGAGCTAAGACAAGTACCTGGGCCTTGGATAGACTCATTTCTGTGCAGGTACTTGTGGTCTGGAAGATGGGGGTGACTATACACATTTACACTACAAGGACCTGGTGAGAATGGGATAAAATTTTGCATAGAAAACACTTAGCATACTGCTTGTCTTTTCTTAGTGCACCAGTATCAGAATTAGTAGTATTGCTGGCAGAGTGGCTCAAGCAGTAGAGCATCTGCCTAGCATGTGTTAGGCCCTGAGTTCAAAGAATCAGCAGTATCATTGTTATTGTTCTTAGAATTAGAATGAATTGTAATTAGTTTTAAGGCTGGGAGGTGTAGCTCAGTGGTAGAGTACTTGCCTAGCATGTGAAGCCCTGGGCTCCATCCCCAGCACTGCAATAATAATAATAAGTTTTAGAATTAATATTACTAAGAGGATTAATGTTCAATTGGTATTACTATTAGACTAGTATTAATATTCCTATTAAAATTTGTATTAGCACTAGTATGAATTTAGAGTTAATGTTAGCTAGTATTAGTGCTACTCAGCATATACTAACATTAGAACTAGAATTAGAAGCAGTGTTAGGATATCCCTTGCATACAATAGATATTCAGTAAATAAATCAGAATACTTAACACTGAGATCTCAGACGTAGATGAGTACTCAACACAAATTAGAATAGTTGACACTTTTGAGATCTCAGATTCAAGTCAGTTGTAACTACTTCACATGAATTCAAACTCATTCAGTCTCCCCAGTCAGCCTGGGGAGCAAGCGCCACTTGTTACCCCATCTTTTATAAAGGAGGCCCAGAAGGAATGGTGAGTGGGAACTCCTCAAAGGTTGGGGAGTCTGTGAGGCTCCTGAAGGAGATGGAGGGAGGGCTGGCTCCAATGTGGCTTGTGTGGCTTAGCACAGAGCGTGGCACACAGCAGGAGGTTGACAAATAGGAAGCTGTGGCCTTACTCTTTCCTCAGACCTCCCATTGTGCCTACCCAGAATATGAGACTCAGAGAGGTAAGATGAAAATGGTCACCTCCCTTTGCGGAAGGTGGGGGAGGCAAGAAGACCCCACTGACCCAAAGGTTCCATCCTTGCCCTCTGCCCTCCTGTGAATCTGTCTCCCTACCTGCAGAATGGGTGGTCAGGAGCTCACTGTGCCATGGAGTTCAAGATCATGGCGAGAGAGCCTTGATGCTGCGCTATGGGAACCCAAGTTCAATATTTGTGTATATGTGTGTCATATTTTACACAGAAAATGCTCAGAATGGACCTATGTTGGTCCATGTCAGTGTGAGGCACTGTGGTCATTTGAAGGAATATTCAGGGGAGGCAGGGCATGGCAGCAAGGTTCAGACTGGGTTGCAAGAGCCTGCGACCCTCTAGGGTTCCCTCACAGCAGGATAAAGGCAAAGCCACATAGATCACACAAGTCTATATCCCCAACCACCTACCCCAGCACCAGGTACCACCCACACAGGGCTTACCCCAGACTGCCACCTGGGGTCTCAGACTCTCTGTCTATGAATATCTGTGTCTCTGTGCTCCTCTCTACAACATTGCCTCAGTCTCCCTTCTTGGTTTCTCCACCTGTGTCCTTGGCCTCGGTCATTTTCAGGTTTTCTTTTACCTTCCGTCCATGTGTCTCGCATTCTCTCTTTGCCTCTGTGTGTGTGTTTTAACTGTCTCTGGTTCTCTGGATGCCTGTCTCTTCTTTCTGTACCCTTTCTCTATTTCTTTCCACCTCTGTTTTTATCCTCTATTTATCCTCATAGAATTCTGTCTCATTTCCATCTCTCTGTTTATCTCTGTTCCTGTCTGCCTCTCTCTGACTCCTTTCCTTTCCCTCCCTTCCCATCCTATCCCACTCCTCAGGACTCACAGGGCAACCCACCTGGGTGAGACCTCAATTTCCCACTTCCAAAGCAGTATGGCAGGCAAGAAGTTGAGGCCATTTTCCATGGGTGTCCCCCCTCCCTGCCTCCCAACCCCAAGACAGCCTGTTACTGCAGGCGCCAACAGCCACAGTCGCCTCCATCTGATAAGACTTATCTGCTGCCCCAGGGCAGGCTGGAGCTGGCGTAAGCCCCAGGCGTGCATGCTGGCTGCCACTAAGAGAGTGTGCCCTTGCCTCTGCTGGCCCTGGCCCTGGCCCTGGCCTCATTCCCCAGCCTGGCTCATCAAGGTGGCTCCCAAGTGATGGTTCAAGTCCTACTGAACTTCTCTGAGCCTCATTCTTCTCACCTGTGAAATGGGTACAGCCACATCCCTCCTCTCGCTATGGCCAGGAGAGCTCACATACATAAGGGTCCAACCCACACCTAGCCTGGCACATAGTAGAGGCTTTCCTCACTGAAAAGCTCAGGGGAGTCATGAACGGGTATGTGCTGTTTTCATTTATCTTGATTTCGGCTATGTCACTTAGCTGGATACTGAATTCCATGGAAACCCAAGGCAGGCTGAGTCTAACAATCCATGGGGTGGACAGGGAGGACCTAGGGCCCCCAGTGTCCAAGAGGTCCCCCATAAGCAGGGGGCATGCCCCCTCCCCTGCGCTGCCCCACCCACTGGGGCATCAGCCACTCCCTGTGGAGGAGGGAGGAGGGAGAAGGGAGGGAGGGAGGGCCAGGAGGAGGGAGGGAGGAAGGGAGTCTCAAAGGCCAAGGCCAGCCAGGACACCCCTTGGGATCACACTGAGCTCGCCACATCCCCAAGGTAACTGAACCCTCCGCACCAACCAGCCCAGGTCAGTCTCAGCCCCCAAAGAGCCCCAGCAAGGAGACCCCCCCCCCCACCGCAGGCTGCTTCTCCCAGCCTGCTCTAGGCTCCTCTACCCATTGCTTGCCCCTAAAGTGCTGGCCACCCCTGAATCCCTCCACTGTTCCTCAGACCCACTTCTATCTTTTCAACCCTATGTCTCTCCCCTAAACTCCACCTCTCTCTGTGGACTTCCACTCACTCCTTCTAAGTTAGCTATATGCCCCTGGCCATTTAACTTTCCTCCTCATACCCCCAGGTTTGCCTTCCATAGACACCAACTCTATCACCCCCAAGACATGCCTTCATACCCCAAACTCCTATCCCTGCCTTAAGTCTGGTTTCCACTTACCCAAACATGTCTGTCTCCCTGTGTTCTCCAGAAAACCTTCGCTTTAGCTCCCGCAAGGCTATTGTTCCTGAACCCCTTACCTGCTCCATAATCCCCTTGTCTCTGCCTCAAGTTCTCTCTGATCCTCCAAGCCTGTCTTTGACCTGCCAAACCCTAGCTTTATCCTCTTACCCCATCTCTGACTCTCCAACCCCATATTTGCCCTGTCTTCACTCTGCTCTCCCCAAACCATTTCTCTCTCCCAACCTCCTGTCCGTTGGCCAAAATGTGTTGGTTACTTCAAACACTAAGTCTAGCCCCTCAAATGAACCCTCACGTCTGTCTTCCCTAAACCCTATCCCACCCAGCCCTAAAACATGTCACACATACACACACCCCTCACCCCAACCCCTCTGACCATTCTCTGCCCCATTTTATTTTGGCTCCTTCAACTCCTTCTGTGCTCCTGCAATCTGTCTCTAACCATTAGCCACAACTCTGCCTGCCCAAGGTGATCTCTGCTTTCTAAATTCCATCACCGGCCAGCAAAACCCTTGGGTTCCTCCTGTTTTCTATGAGCCCCAGAATCCACCTCTCACCCCAAACTACATCTCTAACTTTTCAGCTTTGTCACTGACTCTCAAACTTCACATGATTCCCCAAAATCATGTCAGCTTTCCTAACCTATTTCTGAAACCAAAATGTGTCTCAAGTTTCCAAGCTTGGCTCTGCTCCTCAAACCCATTTGCTTCCCTCAAACTCCACAGCTATACCCTAAACATCTCTCTGACTCCTCAACACCACATCTGACCCTCAAACTCCATGACTAACCCCCAAGCCTGCGCTCCCAGAACTGTCTATGCCCCCTCTGGACCTGTGAGACCCTCTGTGGAGGGCTGGGGTAAGAACATGAGTTACCTGGGGTGAGGGGCTGGGCCGATGGAGTGGAAGGTGCTGCTGCTGCCTGTGCTTCTGGTTGGGGCAGCGCTTTCTCTAGTTGGGCAGCTGATAAGGAGCTTTCATATCCCCCAACCTCAAGATAAACTTTATCTCTGTCCGGAGAGTGATAACTGGGGTGGGGGAGCCTGCCCCAAGAGGAGTGGGCAGCCCTGGACCCACCAAGGTACAAGGTGCAGCGGGGACTGTGGAGCTGGAGAAAGACTATGGGGGGTGAGGATGAAGGCATGAGGAAGATGTGGTGACAAAGACAACAGGAGATGTACAATGAAGCTGGGTGCTGGTGGCTCATGCCTGTAATCCTAGCTACTTGAAAGAGTGAGATCAGGAGGATCATGATTCAAGGCCAGCCCAGGCAAATAGTTCGCAAGACCCCATTTCCAAAATACCTAGAGAAAAATGGACTAGAGGTGTGGTTCAAGCTGTAGAGTCCCTGGTTTGCAAGCACCAAACCCTGAGTTCAAACCCCAGTCCCTCCAAGAGACCGGGGGGGGGGGGGGGGGGGGGGAGAGAGAGAAAGAGAGAGAGAGAAGCAGAGAGAGAAGGGAGGGAAAAACAAAAAGAGATGGTGAAAAAGAGAGAGAAAAGGAGCAAGAAACAAAAGCGACATGAACAAAGATAAAGAAGAAACAGAGAATGCTTACCTGGCAGGGGAGATACCATGATCACGAAGGTAGTTTTCCCAGGGTGAGGCTTATCCATTGCACTCTGGATGTGCTGACCCCTGTGATTTCCCCAAATGTGGGAAACTCGACCGCATATTTTGTGGTAGTGGGGGACTGCGTTCACGCGTTCTCCTGTAAAAAAAGAGAAGAAATAGAGAGACAGAGGCTCAAAGAAAGAACAAAACAGACAGAGTGACAGAAGGAAGAAGAATGAGACCCAGGAGCAGAAGAGTAAGACAGAAATGCAGAGACAGAGACAGAGAGAGACAGATTATGGAGACAGAGACAAAGACTTAGAGACAGAAGAAAGAGATGGAGGGTGAGATGGGAGCCAAGATGGGGAAGCAGACACTTTGTCCAGGGAGAGACATGGGAACCCTGGGACCAAGGTAGCCACAGTGGTGGGTATATTCACAGGCTTGTCTCTTTCCCAGCACAGTTCCCCACCCAGGGCCTACCCCTTGGCCTAGCTATACAATAGATCATGCAGACAGGGTAGGGGGGTGGTCTGAAGTAGCTTTCTACTCCATCTCTGTCACCCCACCCTACTGGCAGGGAACCAAGAAGGCAGGCCAGAGGCAGGTTTCTTGACTCCTTGTTGTGGGCTGTGTACAGTGAGATGTGCTCTAGGTTATGGGAAGAGTAAGAGAGGTCCAAGGGCTCAAAGACAGAAATAGGAGGAAGAGGCAGTGGGAGTCAAAAAGAGAAATAGAATCCGAGATACAGAAACTTCAGAGGCATGAGTAGAGAGGGAGAAAGCAAGAGTAACATATACAGGAGAGCTGAGAGAGACACGGAGATAGAGACAGAAATAAAGATTGGGAGAGATGATCAGAGAGAGAGAGAAGCAAGGAAAGACAAACAAAACATATGTCCATAAATTCACAGAAGACAAGGTATATCATTGAAGCAAAGGAAGATGGGCAGAAACATGGAGGCAGACTTGAAAGGAAACAGGTGAAAAGAGACCCAGGGAGGCAGAACAAATAAGGAAGACAAAGACAACAGCCATCTTTCAAGTTTTAGCTCAGACAGTAACCAATTCCAGCAGTGCAGATGGGGAAACTGAGGCCTGGGAATAGTGGGACTTGAAGATGAGTGAAAGCAGAACTGTGGTGTGCCTCACTAGGGGAGAGAGTAGGAGAGAGAGACCTCCCACCTGTCACCCTCCTCAGAGGAAGCCAGTAGCCTTGGGGTGATTTCAAAAGTTGGGCGGGGATGGCAGAGATAAGCAGTGCGGGGTACTGACCCCCCCATGGAACAGGGAGGAACTAAGGAGGCCCTTTGCCTGCAGACCCAACGGAGGTGGGGGAAGGGGAGTGAAGCCCGGAAACCATGGGGTTTCTGAGAAAGTCAGAGGGCAAGATGCAAAAGATAGGGATGAAGTTGGGGAGCCTAGGAGGGTGAACCCCAAGGCCCTGGGGGGAGTGACAAAGGCTACAAGGGACCCTGGCTGTATACCCCATCCCATTCTTCTAGAGGAAGGTGGAGGAAGGATGGGGGACAGAGAGAGAATAAGAAGAGGAAGTGGGGAGGAAGAAATGAGGAATGGGAGAAAAGGAGGTAGAAAAAGTTCAAGGAGGAAGAGGGAAAGAAAGATAAAGAAAAAGAAGGGGAACAGGGAAGAAGCAAGAAGGATGCATAAAAGGAGGAAGAAAGGAGTAGAGGCAGAGATACAAAAGAGAGAGATGAAACATGAAAAAAGGAGGGGGCAAGAAGGGAGAGAAGAGAAAGGAACAAGGAAAGGGGAAAGGGAGAGGAAAAGAAGAAAGGCACGGAGGGAAAGGATGTAGCAGAGAAAGGAAGATGAAGAGGAGAATGAGGTCAGAGTGGAAAGAAGGAAGAAGAGGCACAGTACCGGTGGCTTCCGCCTGTAATCCTAGCTACTCAGGAGGCACTGATCAGGAGGATTGCAGTTCAAAGCCAGCCTGGGCAAATAGTTCTCAAGACCCTATCTCAAAAATTCCCAACAAAAAAGGGCTGGTGGTGTGGCTGTAGGCCCTGAGTTCAAACCTCAGTACCACAAAAAAAAAAAAAAAGAGGACTTGAGGGGGAAGAAGAGATAGGAGAGATGGGAGAAAGAGAGAAGAGAGGAGGGGAAGAGGGGGAAGAATGGGGAATGGGAGGAGGAAGAAGAGAGGAAGAAAGATGACAGAGCAGATGAAAGTGGATGGAGATGAGGAAAGACAAATGGGGCAAGAAGAGGAAAATGGGAAAGAAGATGAAAGGAGGGAGGATAAGAAGTGACAGGATAGAGTAGAAGACAGGAGCAATGACAGTGTGGGAAAGGAGGAGTGGAAGAGAAGGAGGACATGTAAGAGGTGGAGAGGAGTATGGAGACTGAGAAGATAGGTTGGGAGGAGGGGGAAAGGAGGGAAGAAGAGTAAGCAGGAGGGGAATCGAGGGGTGGGAAGGAGGATTTTGGTGTCTGAGAACCCTTCCTGTCCTCACAGGTTAAACCCCAGTGGCCCCATGGAATTTCCTGGCTTGGGGGCCCTGGGGACCTCAGAATCCCTACCCCAGTTTGTGGATCCTACTCTGGTATCCTCAACACCAGAATCCGGGAGTTTCTTCCCCTCTGGGCCTGAGGGCTTGGATGCAGCAGCCTCCTCTACTGCCCCAAGCACAGCCACTGCTGCAGCCACTGCACTGGCCTACTACAGGGACACTGAAGCCTACAGACATTCCCCAGGTAACTCCACTGGGGTGGCTGCCTTGGCATTGGTTAGATGTGGTGGGATTGCCATGGGGATCCTTAGCTAGGTCAGAATCCTTGGAAATGGCTGAAAGCTTTGCATATGGATTTTATGATCCCTTTCCCTAGTTAAGTTCAGACCTGGGAATGCCAATGCTCCTGGAGAAGCACATTTGGAAGTATGTGGTATGTGGTAGCTCTTTATCAATTGATCCATAGGCTCCAAGTCCCAATGATAGTCATCCTCAAAGCTCAGTGGAAATGGTTAGAGGGTACTATGGTTGCCATAGTGACCAGTGGTGCTCATAATCCAGGAAGTTACCCAATGCCAGCAGCTGTTCTGGTAACCTGTGGAAAGGCTTGAAAGCTGACCACCATATTGGGGCTGGTAGACACTATTGCACCCTGAAAATGAGATGACCTTAAATTGATCTCTCTCCTTCTTTCCTCCTTCCTTCTACTACCTTCAACAGTCTTTCAGGTGTACCCATTGCTCAACTGTATGGAGGGGATCCCAGGGGGCTCACCCTATGCTGGCTGGGCTTATGGAAAGACAGGGCTCTACCCTGCCTCGACTGTGTGCCCAAGCCGTGAGGACCCCCCTCCCCAGGGCCTGGAAGATCCAGATGGGAAGAGCAGCACCACCTTTCTGGAGACCCTGAAGACAGAGCGGCTGAGTCCAGACCTCCTCACCCTGGGAACTGCCCTGCCTTCATCACTCCCTGTCTCCAGCAGTGCTTATGGAAGCCCTGACTTTTCCAGTCCCTTCTTTTCTCCCACTGGGAGCCCCTTCAATTCAGCAGGCTATTCCTCCCCCAAGTTTCATGGAAGCCTGTCCCTGCCCCCCTGTGGTGAGGGTCTCAAAAAGGGACAGGGAGGTTGAGTAGGGGGTGGTGGCCCAAGGCAAAGTTAAGCTAAGCCTGGCTCCCTCTTCTCTGTTCACCCCACCAGAGGCCAGGGAGTGTGTGAACTGTGGAGCAACAGCCACTCCACTGTGGCGGAGGGACAGGACAGGCCACTACCTGTGCAATGCCTGTGGTCTCTATCACAAGATGAATGGGCAGAACAGGCCCCTCATCCGGCCAAAGAAGCGCCTGGTAAGACCACAGGTCTGCCTCACATACACAGGTGCCCTGTTCCTGCCAGGGACAAGAGCCCACATTTTCCCATCATACAGTAACCCCTGTCCTACTATTGCCTCTCACCCTACAGAGGAGCCCCTGTGGTAATACCATATGGAAATCCTGTCCTCCCCATCAGTCTCCGGCTCTATACTGGAACTCCCACCCTCTACCTACCCTCAGAGACTTCAAACAAATCTTTCCTCATACTGCGCAGAAATGTTAGCCCTCATCCTATACAGCAGAGTTGGGGTTTTTTGTTTGTTTGTTTTTGCAGTACTGGGATCTGAGCTCTGAGCCTTGCGCTTGCTAGGCATCTGCTCTGCCACTTGAACCACACCCCGAGCCCATACAGCAGAGTTTTCATCCCTGGCTTTACATTGCAATCACCCTGGGTCCTTCCCTCTGAAGTCAACTGCAGCACTGTCTAGGCATCAAGATTTTGCTTTGAGGTGCAGAGAGGTGTCATCCTAGGCAAGTGTTCTACCACTGAGCCACACCCCCAGTCCCAGAATGTGTTTTAACTCTGCTAGTGATTCTGATATGTGGCTACAGTCCAGTGGAGTCTCCCATAGGATACAAAAAAAAAAAAAAAAACCCAAAAAACTAAACAACAAAAAAAGCCCACCCTATCCCAGATAGAAAATCTCCCCTTCAACCTGAACTTCACCCCTTGGGTCCTTCAGGTTTTGTGAGCCCACATGCCACTTCCACTTCCCCAAGGGTACTGATCTCACATTCCTTTGTCCCCCAGATTGTTAGCAAACGGGCAGGTACTCAGTGCACTAACTGCCAGACAACCACCACAACACTGTGGCGGAGAAATGCCAGCGGAGACCCTGTATGCAACGCCTGTGGCCTCTACTACAAGCTACACCAGGTGATGCCCTGTCCCTCAGAGCCTCTCTTCCCTCTGCTTTCCTGTCCTCACACCATGGTGTCCTTGCACAAAGTTTCCCCTCCTCATCAGTCCTGTTCTATTCTGAACCTTCTTTTTTCTCTCTTCCTTCTTCCTCTCCTTCCTCTCACCTTTTCTTCCTTCCCCTTCATTTCCCTTTCTCCTTCCTCTTCCCTTCTCTTAACCTTCTTCCTTTCTTCTTCCTTCTCTATTCCCTCTTACTTCACTCTTCTCCCCTTCCTCTTATCCCTCCTTTCCACTTCCTCCTCCCATTCCTGTCTCTTTCCTGTTCCCACCTGCAGTTATCAGCTTCCTTCCATGTTAGGTCTCAGGTAGCAGGAGCCTTGGGGGCTCTCCCAACCTCAGATTCCTTAAGAAGTTACCTGTGCCATCTGTGCCAGCCCTGGGCCATGCTCCACTAGTCTTTGAACCAATTCCTTTTGGGGGAGGCAGTATGGGGTCTGAACTCAGGGCCTCACACTTGCTAGGCAGGCAATCTACCACTTGAGCCACTCTGACAGCCCTGACTTTTGTGTTGGGTATTTTTTTCACAAATAGGATGTTTTATTTGCCACTATTAAAAAATGCGAAATGCTTCATGAATTTTCTTTCATGGTACTAGGGCTTTAACTCAGGGCCTTACACTTGCTAGGCAGGTGCTCTTCACTTGAGCCACTCCTCTAGCCTGATGCTTCACTAATTTATGTGTCATCCTTGCTCAGGGGCCATGCTAATCCTCTCTGTATCATTCCAATTTTAGTATATGTGCTGCTAAAGTGAGCACTGTGTTGGTTATTTTTTTTTCCAGTACTGGGGTTTGAACTCAGGGCCTACACCTTGAGCCACTCCACCAAGCCCTTTTTTTGTATCGGGTTTTTAAAGATAGGCTCTCCTGAGTAGTTAGGATTATAGGTGTGAGCCACTGGTGCCCAGTTTGTATTGGGTATTTTTTGAGATAAGGTCTCATGAACTATTTGTCCAGCCTGGCTTCGAATTGCAATCCTCCAGATTCCTATCTCCCAAGTAGCTAGAATTACAAGCATAAACCACTGGCACCCAGCCCTTTTTTCTCTTTAGATGTATTTTGGATAGGGTCTCTTATTTTGCCCGAGGCCAGTCTCTGCCACCATAAGCTTCCTGCATAGCTGGGATTACACCCATAAACCACCATGCCCCAGACCAATTCCCTATTCTTTCTTCTTTTTTTTTTTTTTTGCTGTACCGGGGCTTGAACTCAGGGCCCACACCTTGAGCCACTCCACCAACCCTTTTTGTGTTAGGTATTTTCGAGATAGGGTCTCTTGAACTACTTGTTGGCTTCGAACCACAATCCTCCTGATGTCTGCCTCCTGAGTAACTAGGATTACAGGCGTGAGCCACCGGTGCTTGGCCCAACTCCCTATTCTTAAAGAAGTGGGGTGGGGAGGGTGTCCTTGGCCCAGATACAGAGACACAAAGGGTTGGGTAACACCTGTGGCCTTTCTTTTGGCAGGTGAACCGACCTCTGACCATGCGGAAGGATGGTATCCAGACTCGGAACCGCAAGGCATCTGGAAAAGGGAAAAAGAAGAGGGGGTCAAGTCTGGGAGGAGCAGGAGCAGCAGAAGGACCAGCTGGTGGCTTCATGGTGGTAGCTGGCGGCACCAGTAGCGGAAATTGTGGGGAGGTGGCTTCAGGCTTAACACTGGGTAACCCGGGTACTACCCATCTCTACCAAGGCCTGGGCCCCGTGGTGCTGTCAGGGCCTGTTAGCCATCTCATGCCTTTCCCTGGCCCCCTGCTGGGATCACCCACAGGCTCCTTCCCCACAGGCCCTGTGCCTCCCACCACCAGCACCACTGTGGTGGCTCCACTCAGCTCTTGAGGGCACATGGCATGGCCTCAGGTAAGGGGTGGTATCCTTCTCTTTTTTGAGACAGGGTCTCACTGGGTAGCCCAGGCTGGCCTCAAACTCTAGGTCCTCCTGCCACAGTTCCCAAATCCTGGGATTTTGGCCTGGGATTATAGATATGTACCACCATGCCCAGCTCCCCCCTCCTCTTCTAGCCAGCAGTCTTTATAACCCAACCCCTGGGCTGCAGACAACCCCACCTGTACCTTCAAAGCTTTTGTAAAATAAAACCACCAAAGACCTGAAATTGGAGGTGTGAGTCTGTGTTTGGCTTAATAAATGGTGGTGTCAGGTGGAATATGTATCAGTGTCGATGACTTTTTGAAGGCAGCATCCAGCTGCAATGTTGAGTGTATAAGGCTGGGTGAGATGGCATATATGACATTTCGTGACTGAAAGTTATGACGTGCAAGCATAACACTCTCCATGAAGCTTTGTGGAGAGCATCTAGGGCGTTCCGTATCATGGTGAGATGGCATGTGATCTGCTAAATGGGGGTAAGGTGCTATGAGATGGCATGCGTGCGGCCAGGTGATGGAATAACAGCATGTGGAAGTGTATATATAATAGTGGGTGATAAGGAAGTATGTGAGGTTGTAGTCCTGCGGTTGTGCATGACTCTTGGTTATCTTTGAGACCGGGTGACAGCACATGCACTGGACACAGAATCTGATTGATAAATATCTTTGGAACGTTGAGCAAGAGCTGCATATGCTGGTGTGGAGGCATAACAGTATGACCGTGAGGGTGTGTATCAGAATGTCTTTGTGTGTCTGGCAATGACAATATCTCTGCCAGGCTCTGTGCATGTGTGTGTTTGTGTGCTTACCATGTGGCATGTGCCATGTCATTGTCTCTGGGGGCTGACAATGTGAGCAGCTCTGTGTACATTTGTTTGTGGAGGGATCAACATGCATAGTTCCCCATAGTGTAAGTTGGGGAGCCTCTTCCAAGGAACAAAAGATGTAGTTTTCATTCAGGAAAGAAAAGCAGGAAGGGTGGGCTGGATTAGTAGCTGCCAAGGTCAGAAGGCCAGAGCTGGAGTGTGGGGTGGTCCCTGGGCCTTCCTGTCAGTCATCTCTTATCTTTCAGCCCAGCTCGGCCTGCAGTCCTGTGGGAAATGGAGGAGAATGAGGGGGAGATTGGGAGGGTGAAACAGCCCCTGGACATGATATTTAGACCCCCTGATGAGTAGTTCCACACTGCCAATTCTCTCTCCAACACTCCTACTCACCTGGGTGAATGGCTCCCACAAAGTGAAATGTGCCCTTCAACTTAATTAACACTTTTATAGGAGTATACTGAGTCAGAAGGACATCCTAAGGTAAACAGGTAAAGTGGCTTCCCAAGGTCACACAGTTTAGCAAGGGGCTGAGTTGGCAGTCTGGCCCAGAGTGTGTCTTGGTCTCTCTTCCCCTCAGAAAGCAGCACCATTTCTGGAGTGCTGGCCATGGGTCAGGCTACAGGCTGGGAGGCTTTGATGGTTTAGTTCATAATGCCTGAAGAAAAAAATACCCTGAGGAAAGGATATTCATATTCATTTTACTAATGAAGAAGTGAGGTTCAGGGAGTGATGACTGCCTTTTACCGACCACACCAAATTTAAGGACACGGATCTAGGCAGAGTGACCACCCCCAAGTAAGTGTCACATTTGATGGAGCTGCTTTTATACTGTTTCACCCCAGAGACACAGAGATAGGAGCAGGAGGGGCCCATAGACCCTAAGTATGTTATGGGTAAGCAGCTGTCCTCCATAGAACAACACTGTCAGGTAGTTGCCACACCAATACCACCAAGTAGCCCACTGCAGAATCACAACAGTTTACACTCCTTACAGGAACTGGCCAGAATGGCCCTGACCCTGTAAAAGCTGTCTGCCTGGCCCCTGAAGAAGCCTAGCCCTCACACCATGCAGAAGCTCCTGTCCTCATGTGGCTAGCAACTCCACTCAGAACCAGTGCTGCACAGGTGCCTGGCCCTACCTGCTCTGGGCCCATCCCACATATGAACAGCTGCCCTGACCTGGTATATGAGGCTAGCTCTGAGCTCTAAGCTTAGGAATCCTTTCTCTTCTCTTTCTTTTCTTTCTTTTCTTTTTTTTTTTTTTTTTTTGCAGCACTGGGGTTTGAACTCAGGGCCTTATGCTTGCTAGGCAGGCGCTCATACCACTTGAGTCACTCAACCAGCCAGAACCTTTTCTCTAATTATCAGCAGGAACCCATCCTGATCCTGGACAGGAACCCCAGTGCCCACCTTGTAGAGGAGGACCTCTATCCTCCCCCAGTACAGAATCTCTGTCATAGCCCAGTTAGGAATCCCTAATGACACACTGTAAGGAAACCCCTGCACCACTCTTGACAGGGATGCCCATCCTGACCTCTACATGAGCCTCCATCTCTCTCTGAGTCCTGTCTGGACCTCAGGCAGGAATGCCTCTGTCCTTGTGCTGGCTTACAGCCTTACCCTCCGGGAAGTAGACACATCCCTCTCACAATAAACTGACTTCTGAACCACCACAGACCTGACACACTCTCTACAAAAATCCCCATTCCCAACCCCCTCAAGAACCCTGATTGCATGTGGAAGCCCTTGCTTTCGTTGTTGGCAATGACTCTAACATCATCCGGCACAACAGTCTTGCATCTCACATATCCTATCCTGTTGTGTCTGCAGGAACCCAGACTCCAACTTGGAAAATGAGCCTCAGTCTGGAACTTAAATAGAAAATTCTTTTCAAGCTGGACATGGCGGTACACATCTGCAATCCCAGCACTCAGGAGCTCAAGGCCAGCCTGGGCTCCATAGCAAGTTCCAGGCCAGCCTGAGCTAAGTGATTAAGACCCTGCCTCAAAAAAAAAAAAAAGAAAGAAAGAAAGAAAGAAGCTGGGCGCTGGTGACTCATGCCTGTAATCCTAGCTACTCAGGAGGCAGAGGTCAGGAGCATCGAGGTTCAAAGCCAGCCAGGACAAATAGTTCGCAAGACCCTATCTCAAAAAAACCATTACAGAAAAGGGCTGGTGGAGTGGCTCAAGGTGTAGGCCCTGAGTTCAAACTCTAACACCATAAAAAAAAGAAAGAAAGGAAGGAGGGGGGGAAGGAAGGAAGGAAGGAAGGAAGAAAAAACAACTCTTTCCTGACCACATGGCAGGGACACCTGTGCTGACCCTCAGCTTTGAGCCCTGACCAATTCTACATAGGAACCTATGGCTTTACCTGGCACATGAGGACCTCCTGTCCACTGCATGGCTGCCATGTGATGTTGCTGCACAAGGCTCCCCTGCCCTATTTACATGACATTTGGGAAACCTGGTCCACAACTGTAGCAGGACCTCTGACCAGGCCCTATAGATAACCTTTTCCCCAAACCTCAACAAAAATCCTTTAGTTCTACTCATTTACAGGACTCTCTGATTTGACCCTTTACAGGAACTTTCACCTTTACTATCTAGAAACACTCTACTGGCCCTGAACAGAAAGCCCAGATGGGATCCTCTGTAACAGCTCTTGCCCTGGCCTCATCCTGGAAGCCCTGCCCTCACCCTGTACAGAAGCCACTGCCATGACCCAATAGAAGAAACACATGAACCTGAATCTCTGATGGAACCATGGTTCTAACTTCTCGCAGAATTCCTCTCTGTGGTTCCCAGCAGAAACCTGTGCCCTAAGCTGCTGCAGAAACCCCTGCCTTATTCTCAACAGGAAACTTCCATTTGCCTCTTTAGAGAAATCCAAGGAATTAACCAATATAAAAATATCCACACTGTAGGGGAACTTGTTTTCTCCTTGTTAAATAAACCATAATCTAATCTGAGCACGTTGGTAAACACCTTTTGTAATCCCAGATACTTGACTATTGTTTTTGTTTTTGTTTGCTATGCTGGGGATGGAACTCAGGGTCTCACATGTGCTAGGCAAGCACTCTACCACTTAATTACATCCCCAAGTCATAGAACTCACTTTTTCTTTTCTTTCTTTTTCTCCTTTTCTTTTCTTTTTGGTGGGGCTGGGGTTTGAAATTAGGTCTTCACGTTTGCAAAGCAGGTGCTCTACTGCTTGAGCCACACCTCCAGCCCATTTTGCTCTGGTTATTTTGGAGATGGGGGTCTCTCAAACTATTTGCCTGAGCTGGCCTCAAACCGTGATCCTTTCAATTTCAATCTTAGTCTCCCAAAGTAGCTAGGACAACAGCCCGGCCTTATTTCCTTTCTTTTTTTTTTTCTTGGGTGCTAGGAATGGAACTCAAGGGTTTGTACATGTTAGGTTAGCTCTCTACACTAAGCCACATCCCTAGACCTTGTCCCAGTTACTCAGGAGACTGAGGCAGGCGAACTCTTGGGCTAAGAGTTTGAAGCCAGCCTGGGCAACACATGGTGAGACCTCATCTCTTAAAAAACAAAGGCTGGTGGAGTGGCTGAAGCGGTAGAACACCTGCCTAGCAAGCATAAGTCTCTGAGTCAAACCCCAGTACCACCAATAACAAAAAAACAAAATAAAGCAAAACAAAAACCCATAATCTGAATTACCATGAACACCTGTCTGAAACCTATATAAGAACCCCTGGTCTTTCTGATCCATCCGTCTCCAGAATGTAGCTCTGATCCTGTACAGAAATACATGGCCTGAAAATGTTGTGAGCCTGTGGCCTGACCATCTATAAAAACCCACTCCCCCAGCTTTGAAAGGAACACCTAACCTTAATTTGTACAGGAAAAAGTACCTTCCCATCCTTGCCGCTGACTTTACAATGCCTCTAACCCTTGCTGGAGACAACATTCTCCTCATCCCAGACAGGAAACACTAGCTTGACTTTATGCAGTAACAGAACTCCTGTCCTGGGGTTAGGATGTAGCTCAGTGGTGGAGTGTGTACCCAGAGTGCATGAGGCCCTGGGTTCTATCCGCAGCACTGCAAAAAAAGAAAAAAAAATGTGAATCACTTGAATAATTTAAAATTTTTATGTAGACACATTAAAAAGAGAAAAAAGGGGAGAGTGTAAAGGAGGGTAAATATGGTCTATGTAGTTTATATACTTATATGAAGATGATAGAACACTGAAGCCTGTCCAAATCATCTTAAGTAGATAGGAGAGGATGAAGGAGAATGAGGGAGGGGGTAAACCTAACCAAAGTACATTGTAAGCATATATGTAAATGTTACAATGGAACCCCTGTACAACTAACATATGCTAATTAAATGTTTTTTAAAATGAGAAAAACAAATGAAATTAATTTAATAACATATTAATGTATTTTACTTTATCTAATATCCCCAAATATTATCACCTCAACACTTAATCAATACAAAAATTGACATATTTACAATTTTTTGTGGTGCTGGAGCCCAGGGGCTCACACATGCTAGGCAAGTGCCCTGCCACTGTGCTCTGCCCACAGCCCTTCCCTTGCATATATATGTGGATAGGCAATAGTTTTGACCAGTGGAGTTTGGGCATAAGTGACATATCCCACTTTTAGGAATGGTCCATAAAAACTTCTCATGCAATCTCTCCCTATTTCTTTTTCCCCATCTAGCAACTGAATAGTGAGAACTCCCAGGACATAGAGGAGAGCAGAGTCACAAAAGTTGCCTGGGTCCATGAATAAAGGGAAATATTCTGATTGGATTTTGTATAAGCAAGAAATAAACATTTGTTAAACCCCCGAGATTCTGGATTTGTTGCAGTTGCTAGTATAATTCCTTTAGAATTAATAACAATTTCTTTTTTTTTTTTTTTGTGGTACTGGGGTTTGAACTCAGGGCTGGGCAGGCGCACTACCATCTGAGCCACTCCACCAGTCCTGTTTTGTATTGGGTATTTTCTTTCTTTTCTCCCATTCCATGTCTTCCCATTCACAATGCAGACAAAGCAAAGGGCCTAGGCTGAAGTGTATATGGGGTAGGTTTACTTTTCCTCCTCTTTATCTGTTTAGTCAGTGTAAAAACACAGCCTGTGGTAAGCACAGGAGGCTGTGTTGGGTATTATTGAGATAGGGTCTCGAGAACTATTTGCCTGTCTGGCTTCAATCTGCAATTCTCCTGATATGTGCCTCCCACTAGGATTACAGGCGTGAGCTACTGGTGCCTGGCCTTTTTCAGTTTTATTTTTTTTTTTTATGGTACTGGGTATTAAACTCTGGGCCTCACACTTGCTAGGCAGGTGTTCTATCACTTGAGTCACTCTACCAGCTAAAATTAATAAGAATTTCTTGATCTAAATCTGGACATGAATACTGATATTCATGTTTCTGTGAACACAACCTCTGAACCTTACTGAAACACCTGGAGTAATCTAGTAATAGACCACCTGAACTCTTTATAGTGACATATCATAACACAGTCTAAGAAACCCCATCCTGCTGTGTGTCAGTGATCCATGCCTGTAATCCTAGCTACTCAGGAGGCAGAGATCAGGAGGATCATGGTTCACAGCCAGCCCCGGTCAAATAGGTCTGGAGACCCTATCTTGAAAAATTACAAAAAAAGGCTGGTGGAGTAGCTCAAGCGGTAAGACTGACTGCCTAGCAAGCGTGAGGCCCTAAGTTCAAACCCCAGTGCTGCCAAAAGAAAGAAAGAAAGAAAGAAAGAAGCCCCTTTCAGAACTTTCACAGGAACCCATGGCCTAGAACTGTCTAGAAACTATGAATTTGTCCTATATAGAAATCCCTGCTTGAGTCACTAAGTATGTTAAGATGTCTTGTCCTCACTCTCTCCATGAACATTGGCTTGAACCAGTAAAGCAATAGCAGAAGAGACCTGACTCTGTTCATGAGTCCCTGTCCTCACACTTCCACAAAAGGAATGCCTCTCAAAAATGGAATCCTTGCCCTCATTCTGTAAAACATCAGCCAGATAAAGGAAACCAAGGACTGACATCTGCAGCAGAGGTCAGCAAACTAAGGCCCTGAAGCCAAACTGTTGGCTGTATTGACATTTTTGTGTGTGTGTGTGGTACTGGGGTTTGATTCAGGGCCTACACGTTGAGCCCTTCACCAGTCCTTTTTTGAGATGGGTTTTTTCGAGATAAGATCTCATGAACTACATGCCCAGGCTGGCTTCCATCCGGGATCCTCCCCATCTCTGCCTCCTGAGTAGCTAGGATTACAGGAATAAGCCACTGGTGCCTGGCTGTTTTGACATTTTTAAAGGGTTGGTGGAGTGCTTGGTAGGGTAAGGCCCTGAGTTCAGACCCCAGTATGACAAAAAAAAAAAAACCCAAAACCAAAAAACAAAAGAATGACTGGACACAGTAGTGCACACCTGTTGTCCCAGTTACTTGGAAGGCTGAGGCAGGAGGATCACTTGAAGCCCAGAAGTTCAAGGCCAGCTTGGGCAATGCAGTGAGACTCCATCTTGGAAAAAAGAAAGAAAAAGAATATTCCACAGGGAATATATGTGGCCTGCAAAACTGGCCCTTTATAAGGTTTGCTGACCCCTGCTCTAGAGGAACCTCTCTTCTGACTGTACAGAAAAATGACCCTTGACCCATACATGACTCCTTAGTGTATTATGTTGCAAGTATTGAAACCCCAAAATGTTTCTCAGTGTGTATCATCATGTATGTTTTCTTTGGTGTGTGTAGATCTAAAGGTCTTTAGGTAGGAAAAGTGTGCAAGGGAAGAGGAGGCTGCAACTGGCGATTTCAAGAGGGTCAGAGAGCCTGGCTACTGGGCGGTGGGGCTGTCAATCTGTTAGTCAGTGATGCAGAACCCCAGACCGCTTATCTCTGTGGCCCCAGCCTTCAGCTGGGTAGGAAATGGTGGAGAATGAGAGAGGGAGATTAGGACGGCAAACCGGCCTCCTGTGCGGCTGACATTTAGACACAGGGTGGGAGTCGCAGGAAGGGGGCCATGGGGCCAATTCCCCTTGTCCTCCCACCCGCCAGCTGCACGCACATGCTTCGCTTCCTACTACAGCGTAGAAACAGGTTACCCGGTGGAGGTGGCAGGTAGGGGAACTGCCGCCACCCACGAGAACCTCCCCTCCAGGTCCATTCTAGCCCCGGGTACTATTATCACAACTTTCTCATATGAGGAAACCGAGCACAGAGCTGTTCTGTAACTTGCCCACGGTCACATGGCTAAGTCCTGTAACCTCAGTTTCCTTATCTGCAAAGCAGCTTTAATAATGGGAACTACACAAAACTGTGGCTTTCAACAATGTCTGTCACTTAACAATACTTGCTAACAGTAATCATTACTGGCCCCCACTAAGACTCCTTCCACGCCACTCGAGTGTTAACAGCTAACATTCCGTGAGTGGTTCTCGTGTATCTCTCTCCAGTGAATAGTAACTCAGAATATTCTCAAAATTTATCATCATGACCACTGCCATTTTGACTGCCACCAACCATAGTACTGCGTCAACCTCACCCAGCCCAGCCACTAGCCCGCCCACGCTACGCCATCGCCACGCGCCGCTCAGTAAACTCCAAGAAGAGAAGACGCCCCTTCTTGACGTTCTAGCTTCCTTGCTTGTTCTCGAATCACCGCACGGCACAGCTGGTTGACATCTCTAGGGCTCCTAAAGTGACTCGATAGTGACGGAGGGAGGGGGAGGGGAGAGCGTGAACCCAAGCTCAGTCTCCAGGCAGTGACGCACGCTTTGCGCAGGCGCAGTACGACTCGCTTCGCTCTCCGACGCGCGGCCGGTCGACACGATCCGGTCTGTGGGCTGGTCCTGGGCGGGCCATAGGAACACTCGACCCAATGGAAAAGAGGGCATCCGGTGCCCGAGGCCCCACAGGTCGCCGGGAATTTGGCGGTGCGAACCAAGGGCGGAGTTTGAGAAAAGGGCTGCGCTCAGTAAGTGATGACTGAATGATTGGTTAGCGTCAACGGCTGGGCGGGAACTGGGCGGAGAATGACGAGAGACGGCCCGGGACTGGCTGAGGGGGCTTGGTGAAACGTTATGGATCTGATCTGGGCAAGGGGTGGGGTCTGAGGAAAGGAAAGGGGCAGTCCCCTGAGGAACTGGGCTTGTTGAAAGGCTAGGAGCGGGGTCTGAGGGAGTGGAAGGTACCGGTCCGGCCCGATAAGGGGTGGAGTTGAGTGAATCGTTAAGGGTGGAGTCGAGGCCGGCGCTGGGTCTGATTGAGTGAAAGGGTGGGTGATTATCCTGGGAGATAGGCCCGAAAGGGCAGGTTTGTGAAAGGATGCGGTCTGGGCGAGGTTTAGAGAAATTAAAGGGTGTGGGAATGAAGCTTAGTAGAGAGAAAGGGGCGGTGATTGGCTGGAAAGGACAGTCCCTAGACGATCTGGATTGAGCCTGGGGTTAATTGCTTACTGAAAGGGCAAGACCGCGGGGAAAAGAATCCTGTAAAAGAGGCGGAACCGGCGGGACCAGGTGGAATGGACACCTCAGTGGCCGGAGATGGCCTTGAGGGGCGGGGTTTAGAGGCACTGGGGTTGAGACCGTAAAGGATGGAGTCTAGTTTAGGGGGCGGGGCCCGGAAAGGGACGGGGATGTGGGGTCCTCAGGGCACTTCAGCCACCTCACAGCCAACTGCACCCCCGCCAGAGCCGCGGCAGAGCTGCAGCCTCCCCAGCCATGACCTCCACCGGCCAGGATTCCACCACTACCAGACATCGTAAGAGTAGACACAACCCCCAGTCGCCCTCTCACGACTTGAGCATTACCTCGGTGAGGCCCCAGACCTGCCCTGCTGGGGAGGGAAAGCAAGCCAGCCGTGTCCTGTACTCTGATCCTTCTCTCTGATTGGCAGAAACGAAGTGTTAAGAAGGGTGCTGCACCCCGCTCCACTCCCAATCTAGCAGAAATAAAGAAGAAAGGCAAGATGAAGAAGCTGAGCCAAAAAGTCGAAGAAGACCTAATCGTGGGGCTGCAAGGGCTGGTGAGAGAGGCCTGGCCTCTATATGGCCTCCTGTAACAATCAAAATCCAACCTTCCCCACCCTGAACAGTGGGAGATGTTACCTCTGATTCAGGCCCCGAATGGATCTGTGTCTCTTTTTTTTCCCTGCAGGATCTGAACCCTGAGGTCAAGATAGTGACGGGCACTGGCCTTGTGTTTGATGAGCAGCTAAATGAATTCTACTGTCTCTGGGATGACAGGTGAGGTTGGGTCCTTCAGGCTGTCCCCAAACTAAGAAAATACATTGGGGGATACCCAGCTAGAATGAATCCTTTTGTTTGTGGGTGGTTTTGAACTCAGGGCTTCATGCTTGCTAGGCAGGTGATCTACCACTTGAGCCACTCCACCAGCCCAAGAATGAATCCTTTTCTTACACCAGCCTGGAGACTGGAAGCTGGTGATTTAGGGAGGATGGGGCCCATTCTTGAAAGGTTCTCAGTCAACAAACATTTATTGAGTGCCTATTGTGTGCCAGGAGTTGGTGATATAAATGTGTTGAACAAAACAGAAAGGTCCCTTCTCCTGGAGCTGATTGCTGAGTAGGAGGGGAGATCAGTAGCCAACAGCAGTATAGAGTGTTTAATGAAGATGGAATAAGACCAGGGTATTTAGGAGTGCTTAATAGAGGTAGTATCTGTCCAAGTTCCCAGAGCCTGCTTTGAGGAAAGGACATTTGTGCTGAAACAGAAGGATTACATTTCTCATCCACTCTACTTTTCAAAAGAATCAGCCAATTCTTTTGGCTCTATGTTTGAAATATATTCAGTATCTGACTTCTCCTCATTGGTCCCTGCTTCCAGCCTCCACACAGCAGTCTAAAAAATCTGTATGACATGACATTCTCTTTCTTAAAATACTTCAAGGGCAGGCCATTGCTTTCAAGGTAAAGTCTGAATTCTACATTCTGGCCTCTAAGGTTCCACGTGATCTGGCTGCACATCACCTTTGTGACCTCATCAGTCAATCCTCCCCCCTCATTCACTTCACTTCACCCATACTGGTCCCCTCGCTGTTCTTCCAGTATGTCAGGTAGCCTCTCGCTTTGGGTCTTCACCCTTGGCTGGTCCCTTTTCCAATGTTCACATCTCGATAAGACTCAGAGAGACTCTCTCAGAGCCAGTTAGCCTGGCTGTTACTCCCCCGCCACCTGATCTTAGCGATTTTCCTCGTCCCTGCCATTGTTTGTTAATCATTATTCTCATGTGGTTACTGATTTAGTAACCGCCTCTCCGATCCCAACCCAAGACGGCCAATGATTGCAAAAGACTCATTTGTGGGGCTCATATTTACCCTCTGTCAAGGAGCTAGGGGTACAACAGTAAACAAAACAAACTAAACTCTTGCTTTCAGGAGAAAAGGAAGACAAATAAATAAGAAGTAAACAATATAGTGTGTTAAAGTCAGGAGTGCTGTGGGGAAGAACTAAGGCAGAGTAAAAAAAAGTTCTGTATTTTTAATACAATAGTCAGGGAAAGTATCACTGACTTTTGAGCAGGGATCTGAAGGAGGTAAGGGAGTGAGCCATGGAGCTATCTGGGAGAAGAGTGTTCTAGACCAGGGAAGACAGCTAGAATGAAGTCCTGGGGGCTGGTTGAAGGGTATGTGGTGCAGTTGAGGACCAGAGAGACCAGTGCAGATGAAGCAGAGAATAAGGGGGCAAGTGGTAGGAGGTGGGGTCAGAATGATGATGGGGGCACATTGTTTAGGGCCTTCTGGGCATGAATGGGGAAGACTTTGACTTTTCCTAGGAATAGGATGAGAGCCATGAAAATAATTCAAATAGTGGAGTGATGTGATCTGATTAGGATTTTAACTTCTATCTGGTTGCTGTATGCAGAAAGGACTGTTGGGGGAGTGAGAGCAAAAGCGGGGAGGCCTAGGAGGAGATGATGTGACAGCCCAGGCTAGAGGTTCTGGTGGCAGCAGTAGTGGTGAGGAGGAGAGTGTCTGACTCCAGAAGTGACGGGATAAGGATCATGCCACAGCTATAGAAGGGTGGATGGGGAAATGTGGCAAGAGCAGATGCAGTGCTCAGACATGTCCCCATGTCTGTGTTTATGACTCCCCAGCTTCCCTGAAAGCCCTGAGCGACTCCATGCCATCAAGGAGCAGCTGATCCAGGAGAGTCTTCTCGATCGCTGTGTGTGCTTTCAGGTGAGTGCTCCAACCAATACTGGGTGGAGGGCAGAGAGCTGCCAGGACCTTGGCACAGCCTACTTCAGCTCTTTATTCCTCATTTCTCCTCAGGCCCGGTTCGCAGAAAAGGAGGAGCTGATGTTGGTTCACAGGTGATGGCTTGGGAGCCTGGTAGGACAGGGAGGAGGCTGCTCTAGACCAACCAGGGCAGATTGAATGCTTTGGGAAGGAATGTCATGAACTCTGTGGCCAGCCTTGGACAAGTCACTGAGCCTCTCTGAGTCTGTGTCATTGCTAGGAAACATAAGTTCCTCAGGAGGGCTTAATGTATGTATGTCAGGTGCTTTGAAGGGGACCTGACATATCATCAGGTCATGATGAACTATTGTTATTATAATCTGGTTGTATAAACAGGTGGTGAATGTGTGGGCAGCGTGATCAGGGGGTCCCCAGGGGGCTGGAAGAACCCAGAGTAAGAGACCTGGTGCAGTATGGCTCACGAAAAGCTAGCTTGGAAGAGGGGTATCTGAGCTAAGCTCTGTGAGGAGAAAAGTAGTGAGTGCAATGAAGAGAAGGGCTGAGGGAAGGAAGGAGCTGGGACAGTCTGATCAAAGGCCTGGAAGTAGGATTTGGGGAGGCTAGAACAGGGAACAAAGGATATTACTGGAGGTGATGAGGTGAGCTAGGGAAGAAGCAAGGACTGTGTCCTATATGCCATTTCCCCAGGTTGACCAGAGGGCTGGTTCAAGGAGGGCTCAGGGGACCAGTCCCTGAATCTCATTCCCTATTTGTAACCCCAGCCTAGAGTACATTGATCTGATGGAGATGACCCAGTACATGAATGAGGGAGAACTCCGCGTACTGGCAAGCACCTATGATTCAGTTTATCTGCATCCGGTATGGATGAGAACCATGGGGTCAGGGAATGGTAGCAATTCTGGGATTCCCCATTCCCATGCCCACCCACACTGGGGGAAGAAGTTGAGTGGATAGGACAGTTCTTTCTCTCACTCCCTCTTTGGTTCCCTATTGTCTCCAGAACTCATACTCCTGTGCCTGCCTGGCCTCAGGCTCTGTTCTCAGGCTGGTAGATGCCGTCCTGGGAGCTGAGATTCGAAATGGCATGGCTATCATCAGGTAGGACACTACAGCATTTTGACTTCTTACATTTAAAAAAAAGGCTTTCCCCCAAGTGTACTATCTGCATATGGTTCAAGAGTCAAAAGGCACAAAAAAGAATATACAATAAAAAGTCTCTCCTACCCTTATTGCCCAGATATTTGCTTCCTCTCCCAGGAGATAGTCATTGTATCCAGCAACTCCTATGTTTTCTCATGGATAGAGTTATTCAAGGAACAACAATCATATTTCATTGATTCTGAGGTGTACATTTTTCCATATCTGGAACATCTTGAAATTGAAATACATTTAAACACAGTGACATCTCAGAATTTAATCAGTAACATATTCTGTGTTGTGGTTGGCATGTAAAATCATGGAACATCTTGTCACAGCTGGCTTCCTAGACTTAATGAAATGCAGAAGATAGGGCCTTTGTCCTCCTTCCCCCACCTCTTTTTTTTCTTGCCGTTCTAGAGATGGAACTCAGGGTCTTACACATGCTAGGCAAATGCTCTACCACTGAGCTACACCCCCAGCCTCCAACTTTTAAAATCACCAATGGTAGTAAGCATGTGACATACTCCCTTCTAGAACATGCATTTTTCATGTATTTGCCTTAGAAAGCTTTCTCTAACAGTGTGTAGGTTAGACCTCAGTAGCTGCCATTGTACAAATGCACTTTAAGTTAACCACTCCCTTACTGATGGGCTTTTTGGTTCTCCCCAATCATTTGCTGCTTCAAACAAATGCCACAGCAAATATGGTGGTACATTTATAAACATGTTATTTCACTTTTTTGTTATATAGGTTGTGGGCTAAGTCCCTGCAGCTGAATGACTGGGTATGAGAATGTATGCATGGCTTAACCTTTTTGTTTGTTTGTTTGCTTGTTTCTTTTTTTTTTTTTTTTGAGACAGGGTCTCACTGTGTAGCACAGACTGGCCTAGAACTCTCAATCCTGCCTCAGCGTCCCGAATGCTGGGATTTCTGGTGTGCACCACCATGCCCAGCGAGTGCATGAATAATTTAGAGAAGGAGAGATAGATTGGGGGTGGTGAGGGTTCAAGGGCCCCAGTTACTCAGGTCCTGGAAGATTTGTGACATCAGCACTGGAGAAATTGGTGGTCTAGAATTAGGGAGCAGGGGAGAGTCATCTCTGTAGAGGAGGAGGACCCCCAAATCTTCGGCCTTCCCTATCCTGCACAGGCCTCCTGGACACCATGCCCAGCACAGTCTTATGGATGGGTATTGCATGTTCAACCATGTGGCTGTGGCTGCCCGCTATGCTCAAAAGAAACACCGCATTCAGAGGTTAGTGCCAGAGAGTGGATGTGATGGGGTGGCGTGGTGTGGGATAGCCTGGTCTGGGCTCTTCCTCCAGAAAACCCTCTTTTTCTCCTGCTCAGAGTCCTTATTGTGGATTGGGATGTACACCACGGTCAAGGAACACAGTTCACCTTCGACCAGGACCCCAGGTACATCCTAAGTTCCACCCTAGGTGCTAAACTCCCAATCACCCCTAACACCACCCTTCCAGACCCAGACACAGGAGCTGGGAAGGAGAGAAAGGCATTCACATACACTGGGCCTTCCTGGGACCAGAATCTGTGCTGCTTCCTGTATGTCTACTGTCTCCAACTTTCACTCCGAGGTGGGACTGTTAGGCTACTATTTTATACATGGGGGGGCCTGAACCTGACAGGGTAAGTAAAAGAGATGGCATTTGACCCACAAATATTTGGAAATCTTTTTCACCAATTTACCCTTGAGCTGGAGTGGACCTCAAATTATTACTTTATTTTTTTCTGATTATGACAGTACTGCAAAGTATTTGTTTAAAAATTTAATAGGGTAAGGATGTAGCTCAGTGGTAGAGCATGTGCTTAGCACATGTGAGGCCCTGGGTTTCATTTCCAGCACTAAGAATAATAAACAGGACAGAAATGTGTAAAGGGGAGTCTCTTAGAATTCCCATCACCTCAAAAATAAATTGACAGTTTAGGTCTTATCTTTACAAATATTTTATAGATGTATAATTATTCATTATTATCATTATTTTTAATAACATACTACCTAATGGGATAATCCTCCACATGTTCTTTTTTTAAGGAATTTTTAAATGATTTTATTAGCATATCATAGTTGTATGGGGGATACATTATGATGTTTACATATGTGCTTACAATATATCTTAGATTTACCCCTCCATCATTCTCCCTGTTCCCCCCTCCCACTCCACACCCGCTTAGAATTTCAATGGGTTTCATTCTTTTTTTCATATATGGATACAAAATACATCCACCATATTTACTCTCATTCCCCTTTCCTTATGCCCTTCCTCCAACCTTTTCTGGTACCCACCCCCAGAAAAGATTTATTTTTCCCTCCTGCCCTTTATTTGTTTTTTGATTAAGTGTATGTTGATAGTCCAAGGGGGTTTCACCTTGGTACTTCAGGGCTGTATATATTGTTCCACATGTTCTTTGGCCACTTGCCGTTTTCACGTAACAGCATATTGGGAACACTTCTACATGTTAGTATTGCTAAAAGCAGCTCGTTTTTTCTTTTGGTGGCACTGGGGTTTGAACTCAGGGCCTCACACTTGCTAGGCAGGTGCTCTACCACTTGAGCCACTCCACCCACCAGCTCTTTTTTTAGTGATGCATTTTTTCAAGATAGGGTCTGGCTTTGACCTGCAGTCTTCCTGATCTCTGTCTCCCAAGTAGCTAGGATTACGTGTGAGCCACCAGTGCCTGGCGCATCTCATTCTTCATAAGGGCTGTAGAGTATTCCATTGTATGGTTGTACCTCTAGTCATTTAATCCTAGGATACTTATGATACTTACAATTCGACTACGATAATCTTATAAATATATAATTTTACATTTCTTCAATTATATCTATAGGATGAATTTCTAATAATGGATTTCTGGGTCTGATGGGTCAGTATGCTTTAAGGTTTGGTATATACTGCCAGACTTTCCACCCCAGAAGGGTACTAGTTTACCCTTCCCACAGAAAGTGATTGAGCAAGTCCTTATCAGTAGGGGACATTACTAAGTAATAGTTGTTTTATCTAGCCTTCTATCCAAATGAGTACATAGGATCCACGTTTTCTTCCAGAGATCTTGAATTCCCATGACCCTTTGTCCAATCTAGGTTGTTTTCTAGACATTGATGTATTATTTTCCATCATTCAGTGTTGCTGAGTGTCTTTTTTTTTTCTTTTTGGTGATACTGGGGTTTGAACTCAGGGCCTTGAGCTTGCTAGGCAGGCACTCTACCACTTGAGCTATTCCGCTAGCCCTTTTTTGTATTGGGTATTTTCGAGATAGGGTCTCTCAAACTATTTGCCCAGGGCTGGGTTCAACCATGATCCTCCTGATCTCTGCCTCCTGAGTAGCTAGGATTACAGGCGCCCAGATCCTAACAGGTGTCTTTTCATTTCTTTCTGAGTAATCTGTTTTGTTTTCTGCAAGGTATTCAGTTCTTCTCTCTATCCCCTTTGTTCTGAACTTTCACCCTGAACCATGAAGACTTAAGCCTTTCTTCAGTCCTTGGAAGTTTTCTTCTATTATATTTTTTGTTGTTATTTCTGTGGTATTGGAGCTTGAACTCCGGGCTTTCCTAACAAATGCTCTACCACTTGAGTCATAGCCTAGCCCCTCTTGCTTTAGTTATTTTTATTTATTTACTTACTTACTTTTTGGTGGGACTGGAGTTTGAACTCAGGGCTTTCCAGCTTTAATTATTTTTCAGATAGGGTCTTGAGCTTTTGACAGGTGCTGGCCTAAGGTGCTCCTCCTACCTCTGCCTGCCTCCCATGGTAGCTGACAGGCATGTATCACTATGCTCTATGGGAACCTTCACTTCTGGGGTAGCTGAGATTACAGGTGCTCACCACCATACCTGGAGCTATTAGATCTTTAATAATTTCTTCTACTGTTTTCTCTGTTCTAGGACTCTTTCTAGTATTCAGATATTAGACCTCCTACGTTGATCTTATGTGGCTTATTTTTTTGTTGTTGTTTTGTTTTTGTGGCTTATTTTTTGTCTCATGTTTTCTGTCTATTTTTCCTTTTGCCATATGTCCTAATAGGTTGCCTCAACATTATCTGCAAGCCCTTCTGCTGAATTATGTACTTAGACATTCTTTTTATTTTGAGACAGGGTCTCACTATGTAGCCTATGCTAGTCTTAAACTTGTAATCCTCCTGCCTCAGCCTCCTAAGTGCTCAACTTATAGGTGTGTGCTACCACACCTGGCTTAAGCATTTTTTTATGTTTTAACAAATTCATCAGAAGGGACTAGGGATGTAGTTCAGTGAGTTCAATCCTCAATTCAAACAATGAAAAAAATAGATGTATTAGAGGCTATAGATATTACTTTTGTGGATATATTATTGACTATGTTCATATATATGAAGAATTGTGAATATATTCAATACAATTCCTTATGAATAAGAATATATAATTGAGCTGGACATTGCTGGCTCATGTCTGTAATCCTAGCTACTTGGGAGGCTGAGATCAGGAGGATCACAGTTTGAGGCCAGCCCAGGCAAATAGTTTTCAAGACCCCATCTCCAAAATAACCAGAGCAAAATGGACTGGAGGTGTGGCTTAAGTGGTAAAGTGCCTGCTTTGCATGAATGGTTTGAGTTCAAAACCCAGTCCCACCAAAAAAAAAATGTATAAATGAAAAAAATCTATCCATCCCTTCAATGTCACAATTCTTTTCATCTCAGATCTCTCAGTCTCTTAACTCCAGTGGCAGGGAAACATATCGGCAGTCCTTAAGAGGTTATTGTGAAGACAATAAAGATAGTTAAACTAAAGCCAAGTAGTTTATAAGAAACAAGTAAAGCCGGGCTCCGGTGGCTCACGCCTGTAATCCTAGCTACTCAGGAGGCAGAGATCAGGAGGATCACGGTTCAAAGCCAGCCTGGGCAAATAGTTCGAGAGACCCTGTCTCAAAAAACCTTTCACAAAGGGCTGGGGATATAGTTCAGTGGTTTAGTGTTTGCCTCGCATGCATGAGGCCCTGAGTTCAATCCTCAGTACCACAAAAAAAAAAAAAAAAAACCTTTCACAAAAAAGGGCTGGTGGAGTGGCTCAAAGTAGAGGTCCTGAGTTCAAGCTCTAGTACCACAAAAAAAGTTAAAAAAAAAAGAATAGTTTGGGGCTGGAGGTGTGACTCAAGTGGTAGAATGCCTGTGTTGCAAGCATGAAGCCCTGAGTTCAAACTCCAGTGCTGCAAAAAAAAAAAAAAAAAAAGCACAGAAATAGTAAATTTGGTGAACTGGTCATTCAGTGCATAAGCTAGTCAGAATTGATTTTGTGGATCTATGTTTGACTTCTCCAGAAGGGAATCCTCATGTCATCTTGAGTCCCATCCCTACCTGCTCAGCATGGGAAAGGGCTGCTTGGGGCCAGTCTACTTTCCACAGATTTGTTGGAGTCTCTTGCTATCTGTCATCCTTTCTCCTATTGTGTCTTTCTGGATTGATACTTGTTTAAAATTCCTTTACTGGCTCTGAGTATAGCTCAGTGGTAGAATGTGTATGTGCTTCGTACACTTCCATTCTCAGCACCAATAGATATTTATTGTCTTTTTTTATTTGTTTTTGAAACTAGTTTTTTTTAACATTTTTATTAGTGTATGATGATTATACAGAGAGTTTTGTTGTGACATTTCCATATATGCATATGATGTACCAGGTTTGGTTCATCTCCTCCATTATCCTCTTCCCCTCTACTTTTTTAAATTTTATTTATTTATTTATTTATTTATTGGCAATACTGGGGTTTGAACATGACCTGTTTTACATCATTCTTGTCCTTCATCTTTTAAGTGTCTGTTCATTGTTCAGTGAGTTGTTGTTGTTGTTTTTGTTTGTTTGTGGTACTGGGGCTTGAACTCAGGGCCTACACCTTGAGCCACTCCACCAGCCCCTTTTTAGTGATGGATTTTGTTTAGATAGGGTCTTGTGAACTATTGCCCTGGCTGGCTTCAAACTGCAAACCTCCTGACCTCTGCCTTCTGAGTAGCTAGGATTACAGATGTGAGCCACTGGCACCCAGCTTCTGTGAGGTTTTGCATTGGTATTTTACCTGTAATTTTTGTTGTTGTTGAGACGGGATCTCACTATATAGCTCAGGCTGGCCTTGAACTCCTCTCCATCCTCTTGTCTCTGCCTCCCAGGTGTTGGGATTATAGTGGTTGTCGCCATGCCCAGCACTGTTACTGTCTTTTGACTGGGATGACAGGAGGCTAAGGAATTAAATCTGTGCCATCAACCCACCATTCCACTTGAAGTCGGTTGAACTTATTTTATATTCCCCTTCTAGGCTGGGTGTGTAGCTCAGTGGTGCAATGCTTATCTACCATGTACAAGGCCCTGGATTCAATTCCCAGAGCCACAAAAAGTAAAACCAAAATCCTCTTCTGTTTCTTTTATAAACCTAGTTTCCTCAGGCACTAGTTTTCCCATTTGTTGGTTCTGGTAGCTGTCTTGTGGCATTGGCTTTCTTCAAATCTTTACTTATTCCTTTCTTCACCTGAGGATAATTTTTTATCCCTCTGTGTATTTCTTTTCCTCTAATCATTACCTTATTAAATGTTTAGATGGAATATTTGTCAGTGTCAGAAATCAAAGAATCACCCTCCACCCACTCAAGACTGGAACTTTTGTGGGGGTTTCATTCCCTGATTCCAAGATATTTTTCCTCAATTTTGAGAATCTTTTTATATTCATTGTATTAAATTTCTAAGCTATACTACCAACATTTATGAAGATGTCACTCTTAAGTTTATCTAGATTCATGGCTTACCACTATTTTTTTTTTTTGGTGGGACTAGGGTTTGTACTTGCAAAGCAGGCGCTCTACCGCTTGAGCCACACCTCCAGTCCATTTTGCTCTGGTTATTTTGGAGGTAGGGTCTCATGAACTATTTGCCAGGGCTGGCCATGAACCGCGATCTTCCTGATCTCACCTTCCAAGTAGCTAGGATTACAGCAGTGAACCACCCTGCTAGCTTACCACTATTACTTGCACTTCCCTAAAAAGGGGGAAGTGCTCCCTTATATCCTTCCTGGGTCCAGGTAGAGAGTGGATGAACAGATAGATGGAGACAGGGTGGTCAGATAGATGATAGAGTCTTTATTTTTTTCCCCAGTCAGAATTAAGCCTCTTCCCCCACGCCTTGTTGTGCTTTCAGTAGGAACCTGTACATGGCTTTTCAACTGGAACCTGTACATTGTCTTTCCAGTATCTATTTTGCATGTTGGTCCCTCTCAGCCCTGTGACTACTGATTTTCTCACCTATAAAGCAGAAGTAGTAAGCCGGGTGCTGGTGGCTCATGCCTGTAATCCTAGCTACTCAGGAGACAGAGATCAGGAGGATCTCGGTTCAAAGCCAGCCCCAGCAAACAGTTCCTGAGACTCTATCTCAAAACAAACCCATCACAAATAAAGGGCTGGCAGAGTGGCTCAAGGTGTAGGCCCTGAGTTCAAACCCAAATACTGCAAAAAAAAAAAAGTAATAGGGGTGGCCTATAAGGCACTGGGGAAAAGGGACTGCCCTCACTGACCTCCTGGTAACCCAAGACAACACCCCCACACACACACTGCAGCTCCACACACAGAACGAAGTCCCACCCCTCATTATTCCTGGCCTCTGGGTCTCTCCACTTCCTTCTGTAAGCTCCACAGCCTGGCCTGAGGCTCTTTTCAGCCTTGGCTTTCTTTTCCAAGGCCCCCCATGGGCCTCTAATGTTACAAGGTTTATCCTGCTCCTCTTACCTTGGCCACAGGGGAGGTAGTAGGCAGATAAGATCAGGGTCTCCCACAGAGTCAGGATCCCCCTGGAGCTGGGGTAGACCCAATACCTCTTCGGATCTTAGCCCTGAGTCTGAAATTGGGTGGACACCAAGGAAGCAGTGATATTTGCTGATGGAGGGGTTCTGGTGGGAGACCAAATGTATAAGTGGGATAATGAATAAGTAAATGAAAGAATTAATGAATGAGAAGATGAATAAATTGGTGACTGATAGAAGGGTAAATTAATGGAAAAAAATGGATGTACAAATTAAGAATTGGCAGAGAAGGACTGGAGGAGTGGTTCAAGTGTAGAGTGCCTGCCTAGCAAACACAAGGCCTTGAGTTCAAACCCCAGTGCCACAAAAAAAAAAGTCAGTGAGGAAATAATTAAAGAGAGAATGAAAGAGTGGTTGAATGGAGAAAGGAGAGGTTGAGTACACAGGCACTTATGGGTTGGAAATATCTTAGGCTTGACTCTCTTCTCCAGCTTCCTCACCTGTATTTTTTCTATGCTTGGGATTGAACCCAGGGCCTTGTACATGGTAGGCAATCTCTCACTTTTTCTTTTCTCTGCCCCCAGTGTCCTCTATTTCTCTATCCACCGCTATGAGCAGGGTCGATTCTGGCCCCACCTTAAGGCCTCTAACTGGTCTGCCACAGGTTTTGGTCAAGGCCAAGGATACACCATCAATGTGCCTTGGAACCAGGTCAGTGTCTGCCCACCCAAAGTGATGCCCAGCTCTACCCTTCTGCTGGCTCAGGGAAGGTGGCTGACTATTCTCCATTATGCCTCTATACTTGCAGGTGGGGATGCGGGATGCCGACTACATTGCTGCTTTCCTGCATATCTTGCTGCCAGTTGCCTTTGAGGTCCTGGGGATCCAGGGAATATTGGGGTGAGGGGCAACATTGAAGGATGGCCCGTGAAGGCAGGTGATCTCACATAGTCTATTCCCTCCTTAGTTCCAGCCTCAGCTGGTCCTAGTAGCTGCTGGATTTGATGCCCTCCAAGGGGACCCCAAGGTAAGGAAAGCTTCCTAGGGTTGCAGATGGGCAAAAGGGGCTGGCACTGAACCAGGCTCACTGTCTATGTCCTCTCAGGGTGAGATGGCTGCCACTCCAGCAGGGTTTGCCCAGCTAACCCACCTACTCATGGGTTTGGCAGGAGGCAAGCTGATTCTGTCTCTAGAGGTGAGTGACTCACCTTCATTTCACCCCGTAGATCCTAGAGGGTTTAAGAACAGAGCTTTTGCTGGGTGCCAGTGGCTCATGCCTGTAATCTTACCTACTTGGGAGACTGAGATTGCCAGGCCAGCCCTGGCAAATGTTCATGAGACCCCCATCTCCAAAATAACTACAGCAAAATGGGCTGAAGGTATGGCTCAAGTGGTAGAGCGCCTGCTTTGCAAGTGTGAAGCCCTGAGTTCAAACCCCAGTCCTACCAAAACAAAAAACAAAAAAAACAGAGTTTTTGGGCTGGGAGCACGGCTCAGTAGCAAAGCACTTGCCTAACATACTTGAGGCCCTGGGTTTCATCTCCAGCATTGCAAAATCAAACAAATAAAACTCAGATCTTTCAAGTACACCAGGAGTTCCTGGCCCCACATTTCCACCTACGAGTTGGACAATCTTGCATAGGTCATGTCACAATTCTTTGTGCCTCTACTTTCCTCAATGAAATGAGCAAAATGATCATTCACCTCACGTCATTGTCCAGTGAATTATGGGAAGGCACCCTCTAAATTCCTTCTTGCTTGACATATACTACGTACCCTAGGATTTTAAGTATTCTTTCCTGGTAATGTGGTAACGTCTGGTCCTCTCCTCACCCCCTTCACAATTCCTTCCCCCAGGGTGGCTACAACCTTCACTCCCTTGCTAAAGGTGTCAGTGCATCACTCCACACCCTTTTGGGAGACCCTTGCCCCATGCTGGAGTCCCCTGGTGTGCCCTGTCGAAGGTGAGCCTGGGTAGAGGAGAAAGGGGGGGCCCTTACTGTTCACTTGGGAACTATTTCATTGAATTTCTTCCTCCCCTTCCCTCAGTGCCCAGACTTCACTCTCCTGTACTCTGGAAGCCCTAGAACCCTTCTGGGGAATCCTTGTGAGATCAGGTAGGAGGTGGGAGGTGGGCTTGATGGGGGCTGCGCATGGAATGAGCCCTGGAGGGACACTCTTCCAGATACCCCTCTTACTCTCTTGGACCGCACTGGTGGGGGAGGGCCGGACACTCTCTCTCACTGGGCCTAGGTTTCAGGCGTCCCACACCTTTCTGTTTGGGTCACATTTTTCCCAGAGAGTGAGGGGAATCCAGATTGGGAATATATAATAAGTGACCTCCTCTTGCAGTAGACACTCCAGAGGAGGACGGCGAGGAGGAAGACACTGTGGAGGAGACCGAGGAAGGACCCTGGGAAGCCTCTGCGCTACCAGTCTTGACATGGCCAGTGCTGCAGCATCGCACTGGTCTGGTCTATGACCAAAGAATGATGAGTCACTGCAACCTATGGGACAAGTATGCAGTTGGTGGGCTGGGATAAGTGGTGGAGGTCTGCTCCCTACAGACGCTAAGCCCCTACCTCTGCTTCTCCCCGCACTGATAGCCATCACCCCGAGACACCTCAGCGTATCTTGCGGATCATGTGCCACCTGGAGGAGCTGGGCCTTGCCGCTCACTGCCTCATCCTGCCTGTGCGGGCTGCCACAGATGCCGAGCTGCTCACCTGCCACAGGTCAGGCCCTGTGCCAGGGGTAGGCGGGCTGCAGACTATGATCAGGCTTTGGGCCTTTGGAGCCTGGGGCTCCCCTCTAATGTGGGTGGAACTGCTGCAGACCCAAAGGGACCCAAGTTCTTGTCTCAGCGGGAGTCCAGGAAGGGGACAGAACCACCTCCTTGTCTAGTGTGTGCTTTTCTGTGCCTCCAGTGCTGAGTATGTGGAGCGTATCCGGGCCACAGAGAAGATGAAGACCCGGGAGTTGCACCGCGAAGGTGCCAACTTTGACTCCATCTACCTCTGTCCCAGCACCTTCACCTGTGCGCAGCTGGCTGCAGGCGCTGCCTGCCGCCTGGTGGAAGCTGTGCTCTCAGGAGAGGTGTGTCCTTTTGGGGTGGCATGGGGCTGGGAAGAGGAGGTGCTGGCGGAATAGAGAGAGAAGGCCACCTGCCACTTACACTGAGAGAGTTGAGCAGGACTGAAGGAAAGGATCAATGGGAGGGTTCCTGATCACTGGGAGGGGGAGGGTACCTCCCCAAGCAGCTGGTGTATTGGCGGGGAACAGAGTAAAAAGGGGAGAGCCAGTATGAGGGCTAGGGGTCCAGTCTTACTCCTCGCTCCTCTCCAGGTTTTGAACGGTATTGCAGTGGTGCGCCCCCCAGGACACCATGCTGAGCATGCTGCTGCTTGCGGTTTCTGCTTTTTCAACTCTGTGGCTGTGGCTGCTCGCCATGCTCAGACCATCAGTGGGCGTGCCCTGAGGTAAGGGCTCCCTGGAGATCCCTCCCCACAAACCTGATCCTTACAGGGACCTGGACACTCCCCTTCCCAGTGCTTACTCAGCAGGCCCATAGCACAGCCCCCAGGACTTCCCCAGAAACAAGCAAGGGACTACTCACCTAGCACCTCCCCAGTAAAGCAGGGTCCTGTCAGTGCCTACTCTGCTAAGACCCCACTTATAAACCAGGATCCCGGGTCCAAACCAAGCATTCTTGACCCCTCACAGTCATTCCAACAGAACCAAGGCCCAGACCCCCAGTGCTCACTCCAAAAGATCCAGGGTCCAGCACATGACACTTAACCACCCAGGCCTCTAGCCCAGTTCCCAAGTCATTCCCTAGAAGGGCCTAAGGCCCAGCCAGGAGCACTTGCTCAGGCCCATAGTGAAGGAACCCAGGGCCAGGCCTTCATCCTTACACTGATGACCAGTGCTTTCCTAAGAGACCCAGGGTCCTGCTACCCAGCAACAAATGCCTCTGCGACCCCAGACGTCTAGCCCTAGCCCTCTCCCAGGAGGCAAGTATCCCAGGTTTTTAAGGCTCTCTCCCCTCCCCAGGATCCTGATTGTGGATTGGGACGTCCATCACGGCAATGGAACTCAGCACATATTTGAGGATGACCCCAGGTGAGGGTCTGGGGCTAGGAGCAAGGGTATGGTCAGGGAGGGGGCTGAGCTATGCCACAGAGAGGTGCTGGGAATCCTTAACCAGCCATGGCCCTCTTCCCTTCCCATTCTGTCCTTGGTAGTGTGCTATATGTATCCCTGCACCGATATGACCGTGGCACCTTCTTCCCCATGGGGGATGAGGGTGCCAGCAGCCAGATAGGCCGGGCAGAGGGCACCGGCTTCACTGTCAATGTACCCTGGAATGGACCCCGCGTGGGTGATGCTGACTACCTGGCTGCCTGGCATCGTCTTGTGCTTCCTATTGCCTATGAGGTAAGTCTCAAGTTAGTATATGACACACCTGTGAAGGTGGTGGCACAGGCCTGCCTCCTCAGCATGTGTGTCTGACTGCCGGGTGATGGATCATATGAGACAGCCTATGGATGGCTATAGCAATGGCTTTTGGGGAAGAGGTGGCTTTGATGATCTTGTGTGTCTGTCTGACTATGCACATGTGGCTGCATGTGAGTGTTTTCTCTCTGATATGCATGTGATAACCATCTGTGGTGTTTCTGTGTAAGGGTTTCTTGGATGTGTAGGGGTGGCTTTTGTGGCCTGGCTGGATCTGTGTCTGCCATCATGAGTGCCTGACTGGGTGTGAGAGTGACACTGTCTCTGTAGAACTGTGTGTGCAAGGGAGGCACGGGATTGGGTACATGTGTGACACTGCACAGGTAATCTCCCTTTGTGTGATAGGTGTGATATTGTATGTCACTGCATGCTGCTATCTTTTGTGACAGCTTATGTGAGATGCTCTGAATGTGGGAGGCTTTGTAGGTCTACTATCTCTGTGTCTATCTGTCCTGGCTATTTGTATATGTGTCTTTCTGGCTTGGGGTTAGCCTGGTTGGAAATGAGTTGGTGGGCCAACTGCATGTGCATAAGTGACTCAGTGAGGGCACACATGTGCACACCACTGTGAACATGGACATGGGTGTGTTGTGTACCTTTATATCTGCATGCATCTGGTTACACACTGATGGCCAGGACCACCTTGTGTTTGTGTGACTATGTGCAAGTGACCATGACCTGTGGGCATAACAATGTGTATGATCATTGTAACTGTGGTGATAGCATGCATATGCTTGTGATTGTGCGGGGCTGGCTGGGGATTATTGCCCCTCTGGAAACTGAGTGTGTGTGTGCATGACTAGTGTGGATGTGCAGTTCCGCCTGTGTGGGACTATCTGATTGTGTAGGGGTATGTGACCATCTTCTCTGTGTGTGGCACTTGCATTATCACATATTCTGTGATGGTACTGTGTGTATAAAAACCTATATCATGTTCATTTGTGTCCCATGTTTGACCCTAGGTATGTGTGTATAAGAGAGGACATGTCACTGTCTCTCCAATTCTCATGTCACCACCTCTTGACATCTTAGTCTCTGTGACTCAGCTCTGTCTCACAACTCTTATCTCATGTCCCCTTCTGTCCATTTGTAGTCTCTCCACATCTCTAAATCTGTGCCTGGTGTGTTCATGTCTCTGGCAGTCTGTATCCAAGTCTCTTGTTTCTTGTATTTCCCTGTCTCCCACTCTTTATTTTCAGGTCTCTGGTCTGGCCTCTCTCAGTCTCCAGGTCCCAAGACTCCATTCCTTGGACTTGCACTTCATTTGACCTTGTCCCATCACTTACTGCCTACCCAAACCCTCCCCCTCATGCCCATGTGTCTCTTCTCTTCCTGCCTCAGTTTAACCCAGAACTGGTACTGGTCTCAGCTGGCTTTGACGCTGCACGAGGGGACCCGCTAGGAGGTTGCCAGGTGTCACCTGAGGGTTATGCCCACCTCACCCACCTGCTGATGGGCCTTGCCAATGGTCACATTATCCTTATCCTAGAGGTAACTCTCTCGGTCCCTCTTTCCACAATGGAAGGGCAGTTTGCAAGAGTTAGCTGTGTTACTCAGGGCAGGTTCCTCAAATCCCCTTTGAATACAGAGCCACCTGGGATTGTTGGCACCTGCTGGGCATTAATAGGATAATAACAATAATATAAAGAGCTTTAATTGAGCCTTTACTATGTGCAAAATACTCTTCTTAGCACTTTGTTTACTTGATAAAGCAGCCCTGTGAAGTACGGTTTGCTTACCTGATCATTTTCCTCTCTTAAGATCAGGGGAACTGAGCCAGGCATCAGTGGCTTACGCCTGTAATCCTAGCTACTCAGGCAAAGATCAGGAGAATCACGATTTGAAGCCAACCAGGCAAATAGTTTGTAAGACCCTGTCTCGAAAAAAAACCCACCACAAAAATGGGCTGGCAGAGTGGCTCAAGGTATAGGCCTTGAGTTCAAGCCCCAGTACCACACACACACACACACACAGATCAGGGGAAGAGGCACAAAGTGGGGTAGTGACTAGCCTGAGGCCACACATTTAATAATGGCAGAGTTGGGGGGCTTGAACCAAGGCTTGAACTTGCTTCTAACAAGTTCATAGACAAATAAAATTCCCTGACCTTTTATAAGTGACTTAGTGTCCTTGCTCCTGTGCTAGGGTTTCCTGATCTGTAAGGTGGGGCTGACTAACCATGGCAGAGTGCCTTTATGGTAAACACTATAAAATGCTGTGTCTTCTTACTGTTATGCATTGATCAGACATTCACTTAACACTCCCAGCCAACTTCTGTGCTGTTATTTTTTCACTATTTTACAGATGAGGAAAGTCAGTCACAGAGAAATTAACTGGCTTGCAAAAAGTCTGACCTAGAACTGCTTGTGGCAGGCCAGAGTGGTGGTTAAGAATGTGGATAGCCCGTGTTCAAACCCCAGCACTGCCTCTTCAATGGCTGTAACTCAGACAAGTCACCTAACCACTCTGAGCCTTGGTTTCCCTATGTATAAAAGGAGTAGTAATTAGGGTATATTAAAAATGTATAAGATAGGGGATTATTTGGAGAGAAAATAACAGTTGTTTCTATACTAGGTCAGGCCAGAGCCTTCTGTATGGGTTCACAGTGCCCATCTTTTACAGGTCTGGTCAGAGTATTATGTGATGTGAGGCCAGGGAGTCCTAGACCTTGTGAAGACAGATTTCTGTATGGTGTGAAGGCAGGTTCATGTACAGATTGAGCAGCTGTGGTTGTGTGAGGATTAAATGAGTTAGTGCACATCAAATACTTAAAAAAGGGTGTGACACACAGCAAATGCTTAATAAATGTCAGCTATTACTAATGCGATCGTCAGTGCACTTGCAAATAGTTTACCATGCAGTAAGTGCTGCCCATCTCACAAATGTGGGCTCCACTCATTTGTTCCTCATGCTACCTTCCACTCCAGACTCAGGGTCCTGAAGCAGGGAGGAGGTAGAATTGGGGTGGCAGGACCTCTGACCATCCAAATTCCTGATGACCCCCCACTATACCTTTCTCTTCCCTTTTCCTTACCCAAGGGTGGCTACAACCTGACATCTATCTCAGAGTCCATGGCTGCCTGCACCCACTCCCTCCTTGGAGACCCGCCACCACTACTGCCCTTGCTGCGGCCTCCGCAACCAGGGGCCTTGGCTTCAATCACTGAGACCATCCAAGTTCATCGCAGATACTGGCGCAGTTTGCGGGTCATGAGTGAGTGGATGGGAGAAATTGGGGACAATAAAGGGACTCAGGGAGTGGGGGAAGGGATTAGAAGCAAGGAAAGGGACAGCACTCACACACAAGGATCTCCCTCCATGGTTTCAGAGGTAGAAGACAAGGAGACATCTTCCGCTTCTAAGCCCGTCACCAAGAAGGCATCCCATCCAACCAATCCTAAATTGGCTAAAGGGGTGACCATGCCAGAAGGGAAGATTCTGAGAGCAGGCATGAAGAAGGCTACCTCAACATTACCTGCAAAAGAGTCTACTCCAGGACAGACTAAATCAAAGACAGCTAATGTAGCCACACTCACTCAGGACCAGTGCTTAGAGAGAGCCACTGGGGGAGCTAAACTAGACCAGACCACCTCAGAGGAGACTGTGGAAAGAGCCACAGTGGACCAAACCACCTCAGAAGAGTCTGTGGGAGGAGCCACAGTGGGTCAGGCCACCACAGAGGAGTCTGTGGGAGAAGCCACAGTGGACCAGGCCACCACAGAGGAGTCTGTGGAAGAAGCTGCAGTGGAGCAGGCCACCACAGAGGAGACTGTGGAAGGAGCTACAGGGGACGAGGCCACTTCAGTGGAGTCTGTGAGAGGAGCCAGAGTGGACCAGGTCAACTCAGAAGCAGCCACAGGGGAAGTCATGCTGGACCAGACCACTTCAGAGGAGACTGCAGGAGAAAGTGAGGTGATTCAAACTCCTCTAGCCTCAAACACAGACAAGCAGACTCCAGCAGCCTCACCTGTGCGGGGAGCCACAGCCCAGTCATCCCCCTGTCAGCTGATTGGGAGTCACAGGATTTTGGAACTAGGCAATGAAACTCAGGTATGGTCCTCCACACCTGGAGAGAGGGAAGGAAGGGTAAGAATTAGGCTTCTCGATAGACATAGTGGTACATGTCTGTAATCCGAGCTACTTGGGAGATGGAGATTGGGAGGGACTGTTAGTGGCCAGACTGGGCAAAAAAGTTAGCAAGACCCCCTGGGTGTGGTGGCATACACTATGCAGGAAGCGTTAAGTAGGAGGATCTTGGTCCAGGCTACTAACCCCCCCCCCAACACACACACACAAAAACAAGAAATCCTATCTGAAAAATAACTAAAGCAAAGAGGGCTGTGTGGCTCAAGTGGTAGAGCACCTGCCTCACAAGCATGAGGGCTAGAGTTCAAACCCCAGTACCACACACAAAAACAATTTGATTTCTCAGGTATATGTTTTCCTTCTGTGTTCAGGAGACCCTAGAGTCTCAGACCCTAGGAGAAGAGGGCTTACTAGGAGAGGCAGCTGGAGGTCAGGACACTGACTGCTCAGTGCTGATGCAAGACTTTGGGGAACTTGGTGACAGTGATGAGGTAAGCTCAGGAAGAGACTGGGTTATGGCTTCTTTCTCTTACCCGTTCATGCCTCCAAGCAGAAGAATGTTATGTATAGTGGAGAGATGGGGTCCCCATCTTACTCAGGTTCACCTACCTACCCTAGGACATATTTTATGCTGTGACACCACTGTCCTGGTGTCCCCATTTGGGGGCAGTATGCCCCATACCTGAAGAAGGCCTGGACACAGCTCAGCCTTGTGAACGCTGCGGAACATTTGAGGAGAACTGGTTGTGTTTATCTTGCTATAAGGTATGGAGCAGAGAAAGGGAATGGGGTGGAGGTTGGCCCAGCAGTAAACCTCAGGGTGGTGCTGAGCCCCACTGACGCTTACTCCCCCATCTCAGATCTACTGTAGTCGCTACGTCAGTGCTCATATGGTGTGCCACTTTGAAGCCTCTAGACACCCACTGGTCCTCAGCTGTGTGGACCTGTCTGCCTGGTGTTACATCTGTCAGGCCTATGTCCACCACCAGGTGAGTGTGGGCAGATCCTTTAGCACACTCACCACCCCCCGTCTATGCACACATCCCTTCTGTGATTGGGTATTTAGCATGGTGTGGGGCTGTGGAGTAGTCTAGGAGATGGAGTGGCTGGGGGCTGGAGTGGGGAATGCCTCCTCCTGGCTGAGGTACAGTTATCTTCATTCCTCTCATCTGCCTTGTTCTTGCTTCCTCCTCAGGACATCCTGCATGTGAAGAATGTTGTCCACCAGATCAAGTTTGGGGAGGACATTCCTCAACCACACTAAATCTCAGAACATGCTCCCTCTTCTCTACCTTCGGAAGCCCAAGAGAGACCATCCTTAGTTCTTAGTTCCTTGAAACCTGTACCTTGGATGAGGGTGGTTTCTCACTCTGGCCCACCCTGAATATCCTTTGCAAGTCACCCACGGGTGCTTATTTAAGTGTAAATACATTTAAGTGGACTAGAATGATCAGTTGTGCATCTGCCCCTGCCCACTGCCTGCTTAAGGTACAACAATACTCCACCCAGAAAGAAAGTGAGGCGATTCAGTGGCCCCATGAGGGGGGCTGAATTACAAGGATAACATTGGAGAGGGGAGACAACTAGTAGTTATGGTGGGGTTGCATATTTAATAAAACTAAAGTTGTTACAAATCCTGGAGAAAGCCTTTTAACTTTGAGTACTTTGAGAACCCTGCATCTCCAGCTAGCAGGGCTAATGAGTAACTGTCGGGAGAGGGTCTTCATGAAATCAACCTCTGTCCATTCATTGCCTTAAAAATCTAACTGAAAATAGAACATGACTGGCTCTACTGGAGATTCTCCACTGGAGAATCCATGAGGAAATGAGTGCCTGGCTTATAAATGGCCTCACAGGCAGCCCAGCCATGCCCTAGGCTGAGAAGACAAGAGAATTATCAGGAGCATCCTTACCAGGCCCCCATTTCCCCATCTGTCTCATTGGCTTGATCCCAATAGGTGGGGATGTTTTTGACTTGGTCGTGGTCTTCCTGAGGGAAAGAGTTCAGTTCTGAGGGGGAAGCTGGAGGCCAGTTTTGGAGTTTTATTTCTCCCATAAAGGAGAACTACTTTGGTTGAGGTTTCTGGGAATTTTCTTCATTGCCACCTTCTGTTCCCAAGATGACCCCCAGAGACCCACCTAGTCAAAAAGAAGAATGAGGAAGGACAAGAGGGCTTGGGTCCACCCTCTTGTAGGAGGGTTACAGATGCCCCACCCCTGCTTCCATCTCATTGGTCAGAACTGGGTCCTATAATTGCCATAGCTGCAAGGGAGTCTGGGAAACTTATAACTTGCACATCTACCTCAAATCAAGTTCTTTATGACATGACAGAATAGTCCTTCCTCTGCAACTCTTTCCCTGTGGGACAGATACCACCCCGTCCAGAGCTACCAAAACCCCAAGTTGAAGCTGCCACACAGGCTCCCTAGCCCCAATTAAGCCTTCAAAAAATGGTCCCTGAAATCCCCAAATCCTGCCCTCTAGGTCAAAGTCTGACACACCTCTACACAGTTCAACAGGTCCCATCTCAAAGGAGGCCCAGGCAGGAGAGGCGCGGCGTGGCGCCGGGGGAGGTGCGGGGTCCTGCCGGCTGCCCACAGCACAGCCGCCTCCGTGGCCCTGGTCAGGTGCCCCAGGCATGACCCGGGCAGTGGCCCCGCGGGGGCGGGGGCAGCGAGGGGATTGCGAGCAGGTGGGAGGGGGCGAGAGAGGGCGCCTGCGCATGCCCACTCCCCCGCCCAGCGGCAGCCGGAGGTGGGGAGCAGCCAAGCCCCCAGCCTGTCCCGTCAGAGCTGCGGGCCACCTCTCAGCGCACCACCGCTCTCGGGACTCAGGTGAGCGGGACGCCCCTGCCCCGGCCCCACTCCAGCCTGGGGGGGTCTTTCCGCGTCGGTTTGAGGGGACCCTTTCCCGTCCGCCTCTCTTTCCCCTGAGGGAGCGAGCCCCTCGCTCACCCCGCTTCGTCAGGGTGCCCGCGCTGAGCGGGAAGCGGGGCCGCTTCTCTGGATGGGACGAGAAAGGACCACCCGGGCGCCGCTATCCAGACTGAGCCCAAAGTGGAGGGGCTCGCGGGGACAGTTTTAGAGGCACCCCTCCCCACCTCACCTGGCTCGGTAAGTGAGCCGGCGAGTTGTCCAGGCGAACCCTGAAAGGGGACCGCAAGGCCTATTTGGGGCAACCCCGTACCCTTCTCACTCTCCCTGGCCCTGTGTCCCCAGTTCGTCAGCTCCCCGTCCCAGGTCAGGTAGGTGAGGCCAGGCGACTGGCCCAGGCAGCTCAGTGGACGGCCACCGGGGCTCGGGGACTCTTTGGGGACACGCCATTAGCACTCACCACGGCCAGGGGATCTGTGTTACTTGAGCAGAAGGCTGAGACCCCGATCTGTGGCATCTCAGTCGTGTGGCCTGGGCCGATCCCGTCACTCGCTCTCACTCATCGCTACAGCGGGCATGGCGACCTAATCTCGGCCTCCCCAGGGTGTCACAAAGATGGGGTGAGTTGTGGGCACGTCAGGGGCTCCCCCTGCCCTACCAAGCTCTCGGGAGAGAAGAGTGCCTGCTGCCCTGCTCTCACGGTAGGTCATTACGGTAATCGCCAGCACCTTGGCCAAGAGGGCGGAGCCCTCCTCACACTTCCCCCACCTCTGAGGATGGCACCCCCACACTCCCAGCTGTTCCGGCCCCCAACTTGGGAGTTATCCTTGCCTGCTCCCCCACCCCTAATCTCTAGAGAAAGCCTCAGCACCACCTCCCAGTATTCCAGAACCGGCCTCTCCTTTCCACCTGCACTGCTCCCCCCTTCACTGGCCCCTCCTGGGCCCTCTGCTCATTGGGTCCTCAACACACTCCTCTCTCTTTCTGTCCCCAAACGTTGATAATCCCCCAAGCTCTGCTCTGGGCTCCCTTTTCTCCTCATCCTGCCCATCCTTTTGGAGCAAGCTCTTCCAGTGACTATTTTCAGGGCTCCTTCCATCTGAGACCTTGCCCTTCCCCCACCTCCCTATCCCAAACTCAGCAGAACCTGCTGTGCACACCTGGAACCCCGTATCTGCCCCCCCCTCAACTGCCACTGCTCCCGGCTTTCCAGAGAGCCTTGTGGTGACTGCCATTGTGGTGCACTCTTGGAGGGCGATTCCCAAACCGGAGATGGAGGTGCATTCAGTGAGTTAATGGTGACTTGCTATTAATAGCTAACACAAATTGAGCACCTGCTGTGTGCCCATCCTCTTCCAATATGCAAGATAATTTCCTTACTTATCATGTTTATTGTCTCCCTGCCAGAATCTCAGGTTCCCAAGGCGAGGAGTTGAGTCTGTTTTGTTCAGTGCCTTAATCATAATGCCTGGCATACAGGAAGATCCTTGAATGAATCAATGAAAGATTAAATAATAAAACAAAAAGTGCCTGACATTAACTGAGCACCTGCTGCATGCTGACCACCTGCTGCTGAAATCGATTTTACTTATTTATCTTGTTTGCTGTCTGTTGTCAGATAGCAATGTGGCGTTATTGACAATGTAGAAAATAACATTCACAGGGGCTGTGTTGTATTATGTTTTGTGCGCCTCTATGTCCCTGCCACAGAGAAGGTTCTCAATAAATATATGACGAAATTCTAATGAAAATGGCTAACAAACAACATGATTTACTTATTTACTTTATTTTCTTTTTAGATAATAATGTCCTGGTCTGGCAGAGTGGCTCAAGTGGTACAGTGCCTACCTAGCAAGCAAAAGGCCCTGAGTTCAAGCCCGAGTACCACACACACACACACACACACACACAAAGATAATAAACTCGGGAAAATTCAGAGTAGACAACCATCTGATCGGCACAGTGCCTGGCTGGGGTTCAAAAATGACCAACCCCTCCCTCCCCCTCCCACCTCCACAATGGGAAGGAACGCCCTCAAAAATGTTCTAAACTTGATTATGGTGGTGGTTGCACAAGTTTGTGACTATGTTAAAAGTTCATTGTACTTTTTTTGGTTTTTACCAGTACTGTGGTTTGAACTCAGGGCCCCACACTTACTAGGCAGGCAGGCGCTCTACCACTTGAGCCACTTTACCAGTCACTGCCTGGTTGGGTATTTTTGAGATAGGGTCTTCTGAACTGTTTGCCTGGGGATGACTTCGAACCGTGATCCTCCTGATCTCTGCCTCCTGAGTAGCTAGGATTACAGATGTGAGCCACTGGCACCTGGCTCTTTGTACATTTTATCTGGGTGAACCTCATGAGATGTAAATTATGTCTCAACTTTGGGGCTGAGTAGCTCAGTGATAGAGGCCAGGGGTTTGATCCCCAAACCTGCCAAAAGAATTAAAAGAAAAAACAAAAAAACCTACCTTTATACAGTTTATATCCAGAAGGAAGAAAGAGAGAGAATAGCATAAATAACTATACCTATTAGAAAATGATCAGCACACAATAGGCACTTAGCAAATGTTGATTCCATGACACCCAGAGGTCCCCTTGACCTCACCCCTGTTTTCTTCCCTCACAGAGCCTGCTGTTCGCATCTCTTCTTTCAGCTGCCTGTTTGGGGCATGCCGCTGCCAACGAAGTCTAGCATCTCAGGCCTGGGCCCAGGCCTGTGCTCCCCAGAGGAGAGCCATGAGGCTTGGGCACACTGCAGGGATGCTAGCAAGCAGCTGCCCGAGTACAAGGCGGTGGTGGTGGGCGCAAGCGGCGTGGGCAAGAGCGCACTGACCATCCAGATGACTCACCAGTGCTTTGTGAAGGACCACGACCCCACCATCCAGGATTCCTACTGGAAGGAGGTGGCCTTGGACAATGGAGGCTACATTCTGAATGTGCTGGACACGGCAGGGCAGGATAGCCACAGAGCCCTGCGTGACCAGTGCTTGGCAGTTGGTGATGGGGTGCTGGGTGTCTTTGCTCTCGATGACCCCTCATCTCTGGACCAACTGCAGCAGATGTGGGCCACCTGGGGCCCCCACCACAACCAGCCCCTTGTCCTGGTGGGCAACAAGTGTGACCTGGAGGGTACCGCTGGAGATGCTCGTGCTGCTGCTGCAGCCCTTGCCCAAAGCTGGGGAGCCCCCTTCGTGGAGACCTCAGCCAAGACGCGGAAAGGTGTGGAGGAAGCCTTTTCCCTGCTCATCCGGGAGATCCAGAGGGCCCAGGAAGCCATGGCAGGGCCCGATCGGGAGAGGACCCGGCACCAGAAAGCTATGTGCAGCTGTGGCTGCTGTGTGGCCTGAAGGTCTTGATCAAGTAAAGCAACCCCTTTCCCAGGCCAGGGTGATGGTTCCCTTGACATGAGACTGCCCCCACACGGAGCAAACAAGTATCATGGACACTCTTGGTGTAATGGGGACTGATGGACACCTTATTTTCATTTGGTGAGGGGTTTTTTTGGTAACATGGGGGTGTCTAGTGTTGGCTATGTTGTCACTTTGAGAGGTTCTGTGCAAAATTAAATAGGTGGTGTTCTCATGATTCCAAGCTGCCTCCCTACCAGATGTTTCGTGGGTGGAAGTGAGACTGGATAGAATGTTACTGGAAATATGAGAATTCTTTCATTCAAGAAATTTGGGGGAGGACTGAAGGCATGGCTCAAGCAGTACAGTGCCTGCTTTGCAAGTGTAAAGCCCTAAATTCGAACCCCAGCCCCCCCACACAAAAAAAAGCTACTGAAGAAATTTGGGGGACTTGGCACATCTTTGTAATCCCAGCAATTGGGCGAGGGCAGGGGCTGAGGTAGAAGGATGGATCACAAGTTTGAGGCCAGCCTAAGCTACATGATGAGACCCTGTCTCAGCAAGAGAGAGAAGGAAGGAAGGAAGGAAGGAAGGAAGAAAAAATATGCCTGGGAGAACTGTGCGTATGCCAGGCCCTGCTTTGGGTACCAAGATGTAGAGATAAATAAGACACTTAAAAAGCCTGCCCCTGAGCTGGACATTGGTGGCTCATGCCTGTAATCCTAGCTATGCTAGGAAGCAGAGATCAGGAGGATTGATGTGCAAAGCCAGCCCAGGTAAATAGTTCCAGAGACCCTATCTGGAAAACACCCAGCACAAAACAAGGCTGGTTCAAGCGGTAAGAGCCCCTGCCTAGCAAGGAGGAGGCTCTGAGTTCAAACCCCAGGACCACCAAAAAAAAAAAAAAATCCTGCTCCTGGTTGACAGAAGGCTAGCTAGTGATAGAAGCTGTATATTAAAGATAGCTGATGGAAGACAATGGAGTAGGAGACATTCGAATGAAGACTCACCCATCCCCTGAGGCAGCAAAGACCATGAGTGAGTATAAACCAGCTTAGCCGGTGGTACTTGGCCCTCCGGAGGACAGAACCCCGGAAGATGCCAAGTAGGCCCTGAAGGTGACCTCACAGCCTTGGGATCCCCACACCCCAGTGAAGCCTCGTCTAGCAGCAGTTTCTGGAGCGGACTGCAATTGCCACAGTCCCTGCGGAAGCTTCTGCCAGCCAGGACTGGTGCAGACTGGGGAGTGGTGTATCTGAAATGCAGGGCCTGGGGGGAGGACCCTTCTGTCCTCTTCCAGGGATGACTACCAGCGCCAGTCACCACCCCCTAGCCGCTGCCACTCAGACAAACAGCTGCTTCAGACCATGTTTATTGAGGGCCAGGGTGGGACTCTCGGACAAGCTGCTGTCAACGTGCTCGGGGTAGAAAGCTCAAGCTCGGGACCTGGAGGTTCCAAGGCGCATGGGATGCAGGCGGGGCTCAGGGTGGCAGGAGGCGGCGGGCGGGCGCCTGGGGCGGGGGGTTCTCCAGACGCTTCACGCGCAGCAGCGCCCCAAGAACACCTTCAGGGGGCACCTCCGGGCCCAGATCCTGATCTACAGCACGGCGGAGGCGGCGCGGGGCAGCCGCAGTCTCGGGTTCCACGTTTCCGGTGAGGATCCTTCCCAGCAAGTACCTGCCGGGCATCGCGGAAAGCAGAAAGCGTGAGGCTCTGTCCCCCGTGTCACCGCGGAAGCCCCGGACGGCAGAACCCCAGAACCTCATACTGCCTGCTCCCTCCCCACTCCAGCGTCCCGGCGCCACTGCTTCCAGGCAGTCAGACGTAGCCGCCCCCCACCCCAGAAACTATGGCTTCCCCACCTACCTCTCCCAGCAGAAATGGTCCACCAGAACCCCCGCTCTTCCCCAAGACCCGGAGTCCACGTCCCTGCACTGTCCCTCCAGCCAGTCATCTTCGCCCCACCTTGGATCCAGGACCTCACTCCCTCCCAGGGCCCCAGGACCTTTGCCCCTCCTCTGGACTAAGGAAACATCGCCCCCCGCCACGTGAAGCAGGGCCGGGCCCCTCACCACGCCCTCCCCGCCCCTTGTCCGGCAGGCACCTCAGCAGCTCGGGGTCCACATCGGATGTTTCATCGCCAGCGTCCTCAGCATCCGGGCCGGTGGGACCGTCGTCGTATACTGGGGGCCGGGGTCGCAGCGCAGCGGCTGGAGCGGGCGCGGGGACAAGCTGGGCTGCGAGGGCGGCGGGATCAAGGCGGGCGCGGAGCAGGGCGCGGGCGAGTTGTGCCGCGGGAGCATCGGGGTCGTCGTCCAGGCCCAAGGGCGCGTCGGAGGAGCGGGGGGAGCCCCAGCCCCGCAGCAGCTGCGCCAGGACGCGCGCCTGCTGATCCTCGACCTCTTGCGCCTCGGCCCGCGCGCGCTCCTGCCTCTCCGCCTCCAGCAGGTGCGCCAGCGCCCGGGCCAGCTCCTGCACCGCGCCCGCCGCCTCTCCTCGGGGCACTGCCCGACGGAAGCGGCGGGGAGTGCCAGCCTCAGTCATGGGCGGTGACGCTGCGCTCAGGCTACGAGGCTCCTGCAGGAAAAGGAGGTGGGATCCCTCAGACCAAACCACCGTGCCCCCACCAAAGTACCCAAATGTCTCTAAGGCCGCGGGAGACCCCCCAGGTATCTCCAGACACGCTCAAGACCACCAAAGACCCCCAGAAGCACACATCCCCATCGATGCCTTAGTGACTCTCAGAACTTACCCCGGTTCCTCTGCAGACTGGGTTTGGAATAATTCTTACGCTTTGCGGGTGGGAATTAAATTGGCAAAATAATTTTGAAGAGCAGGTTGGCATTGCCTCAAAAGAGCCACATGTTTTCTGACCCACTCCTGGGGTGTTACACCCCACAGGAGCATGAGCACCTATACTACTGGACATAAATTGATGGAAGATAACAGCCACATTGGTAATCTCATTAAAGCAGGGGGAGGAAGGAAAGAAGGAAAGGCCTGGAAACAATCCACTGTCCACTGACACATTGAGAATGCATGTAGAAAGCATGACATGCTTGTAGACTCATACTCAGAGAATAAAATCTTATGCAGCAATAAAGTTAAGTTAATTATAGCCACAAAGTAAAGCCAAAAAAGGCAAGTTCTGACTAAGGTTGTTACTCAGTGGTAGATTGCTTGAGTCACAAAACCTCACACACACTCACACTCACAAAGGCAAATTCCAGAATCCCACTGCAGACTGCCTGAGACTACCAGACACACAAAAGAACTTCCTAGGGACCCTTAGTGACTACCAGGTGGCAGATGACCAGTTGTATTCCATTTCTATGAGGCTTAAAAGCAGGAGAAACTAAATGATAGATTATTTAGCAATAAGCTTCAAATAAAAGTAAAGAATCTGCGGACAGTGGGTGCCAGTGGCTCACGTCTGTAATTCTAGCTACTGAAGAGGCAGAGATTAGGAGGATCACTGTCGAAGCCAGCCCCAGCAAATAGTTGAGACCCTGTCTCAGAAAAATAAAATAAAAGAATCTGAGCACAGAAAATACATAATACAGGATAATGACTATAGGGGGAAGAGAGGATACCCAGATGGGACACATGGAGGCTTCTATTACTGGTCATACTTTTATTTCATAAGTTTAGTGGGTATGCAAGGGTTATTTTATCATTTTATCCTTTACTATATTTAACATACGTTAAATATAGTGTTCTATATAAAATACTTAATAATTTAACATTGATTCAGACAGCCCTGAAGAGCTAGAAGAGGAAGCTGTTCTAAGTGCCTTGGTTAGCACCCACCACCCCTCAGACAGGCCCTGAGAAAATTACTCATCAGCAATCAGTGTCTCTCTCTCTCTCTCTCTCTCTCTCTCTCTCTTTCTCTCTCTCTCTCTCTCTCTCTCGCTCTCTTTCTCTCTCTCTCTCTCTCTCTCTCTCGCGCGCGCGCGCCCGCCCGCCCGTGAGATGTGTATATGCAACCCAACACTGCCACATCCATGCGCAAGGAACCGCACTTTGGCATTATTTGGGATGGGGCGTTGTGGTCCTGTCCGGTGTGTACACTCCATGTTGGTGGGATGATCCAGGCCACCCAAGCGCAAGGACACGCACCATGCTTGAAGACACAATGCAGAACAGAGACATCATGGCTCCTTTCTCCACGATGACACAGCTCCACAACGAAGCTAAGAGAAATGGCCTCATGACGGCACATACAAAATCCCTAGCACCCAGCCCAAAGAACCAACATGGGATGTACACGCAGAGACAAGGACCACTCTTTTCGAAATAAAAAACGAACTCACACAACACACGCCCATAGACCACGTCATCACACATAATAATTCACTCATATGTACACACGGGGTCACAAAAGTCACACACAGACGCATCCCCAATATCGCACACCGTACACGCCCGGACACTCGATATCATCTTTGGACACTCGGATGAGGTCAAACCAAAGGACACACACTTAGGACACAATACCCCCGCACCACTGTCCTCACATCACGCACACATACTGACGCGTACGCCCTACCTGAATGCGCCCTAGGCCTTGGACAGCGCCACAGACCGCGGGCGGGGCGAGGCCCAGCCTGGCTCAGAATGCGGAGGGGTGACAGGGCGCGGCTGGTGGCCGAGCCAAGGACATCACCACCGGCACACGCAGAAACTGAACCTGCTCTCGGTGTGTCGGCCTGGACTCCGCGCGGACTGCGGGCTAGAGCCCGGGTCCCCCTGGCCGATCTCTCCTTACATGCCGGGCACTGGCTCGGGCAAGGATGCGTCCCCGACCCCGGCCCGCAGCATCCTTCTCCCCTCCCCCCCCGCACCCGCATCGGACTGGGGTCGCACCTTTACCGGCCGCGCGCACAGCGCGGGAGGCAGCCGAAGGAGGCCCAGCAGCAGCAACACCAAAAGGCCGACGCCCCCGGCCCGCGGCCCGCGGAGCAGCGGCGACCCCGCCATGCTGCCCCAGCGAGCCGGGCTCCGGACGGGCGGACTGGCTGGCAAGTGCGCAGCGCGGAGGCTGGCAGGCACAGCCGTGGGGTTCTGCGGCTGCGCACACGCAGGAGCCGAGCCCCCTCCCGTGCACCCTCTTCTGCTGCTCTACGCAGGCGCAGCCCCGGGCTCTGGCAGCCCCTCCATCCCGTATGTCCCCATGGAGATGCCCAAGGGGCCAGGTGGAGAGCTGGTGCCTACGCTGGCGGTTGCCATGGCAGTCGGAGGGCAGTTGCTAGGGCAATAGACCTTGCTGTGGATCGACCAGACAGGCAGGGAAAATTGACTTAGTGGAGTGATGTGGGGGTCGTGTCCTCTCCGCTCCCTCCTTAGGCAGGAGATGAACGGTACTCTGTTCGTTGGACTAAGAGTTACAGACTGCATGTTGTGAGCCACGCCTAAACAGATGACTTGACCACACTAAAGACTCAGCCCCGCAACCGCTGTCAGGCTAAGACGAGTAACCATAACCTCAGAATGGCACTGAAGGTTTGTTAAGAGTGATATTCAGGCCAGGCGCCTGTGGCTCACGCCTGTAATCCTAGCTACTCAGGAGGCAGAGATCAAGAGGATCGCAGTTCGAAGCCAGCCGGGGAAATACTGCGTGAGACCCTATCTTGAAAAAAATCAACACAAAAAAGGGCTGGTAGAGTGTATCAAGATGTAGGCCCAGAGTTCAAACCCCAGTACTGAAAAAAAAAAAAGTGATATTCAGTATGAAGTCAATAAATGCTCCTTTCCATTCCCAGACCTTCATTTCTCTATGACTCTGTGTTTCTCTTTCTGTCCTTATGTGCCCTTGGCTGGTTCTGTCTTCTTCTCCTCAACTGTTCCTACTTATCTCTGACTCTGTCTCTGTCTCTCCCCATATCCTCCTGACCCTGTCTTAATTTACTGTCTGTATCTACTTGCTTTTCCATAAATAGATACATATATAGATTTTTATCCATATATTATTCCAAAGGATTTCAAGCCACATAAAATGATGCTTCAAAGAGGCTGGGGTTGTAACTCAGTGTTGGAATGCTTGCCTATTCCACACCTATAATCCTAGCTAATAGGGAGGCAGAGATCAGGAGTATCACAAAAAAAAGTCACAAAAAAGAGCTGGTGGAGTGGCTCAAGTGGTAGAATGCCTGCCTAGCAAGTGAGGCTCTGAGTTCAAACCCTGGTACCGCCAAAAACCAAAAAAGGTTGAAACAATCATTTTGTGAGAGACTCTTCCCTTCCCCTTGCTGTCTTTCATAAAGCAAGTAGCCACTTTGAGGAGACTTTTTTTTTTTTTTGAAACAGGGTCTCACTGCATAGCCCAGGCTGGCCTCAAACTCAAGATCCTCCTACCTCAGCCTCTGAGTGCTGGGACTACAGGTGCGAACCATCATACCTGGCTTACTTTGGGGAACCTTAAATGGCAAAGGCAGAGGCTGACCTCTTGGAGCTGAGTGGCCTCTGGCCAACATACAGCCCGAGACTGACGTCTCTGCTCTATAAAGTTGTGTCACCACAAGTGACAACACCAACAAGTACAGTGAACTTGGAAGGGGGCTGGCAGAGTGGCTCAAGTGGTAGAGTGCCTGCTTAGCAAGTGTAAAGTTTTGAGTTCAAACTCCAGTGCTGCCAAAACAAAACAAAAAGACCCAGAAGTTCTGGGGGTGTGGTTCAAGTAGGAGAGAGTACTTGCAAGTTCAAGACCCTGAGTTCAAAACCCCAGTACCACCAAAAATATATATATGTATCTATATATATATATATGATTTATAGAGAAATCAATAAGAAAAACAGGAACTCCTGTCAAGATGTGGGCCCTGAGTTCAAACCCCAGTAACACACATACACAAAAAGACAGAATGAGAATGACAAATACAGCAGATTTTCTCTCTTATATGGAACCTAGACTTGAAAAAATGAGTGGCTTGATAAAATGGGGGTGGGGGAGCAAGTAGGGCTGCAGTGTGGCTGAAATGGTAAAGTACCTGCATAGCAAGCTGCAGGCCCTTAGTTCAAATCCCTTTATCACCAAAGAAATTGAAAAAAAAAAAAAAACAGAGGTGACAGGGAAGGAGAGGGTAAAATGTGGGGGGGGAGGGATGAATATGAGCAAAGTGCTTTATACACATGTGTGAAAATAGAATAATGAAACCCATTAAAATTATTTTAACAGAGGGGGATAAGGAAGAGTAATAGAGAGGGTGAGTTTGATCAAGGTACATTGTATGCATGTATACAAATATTATAATAAAACCTTTTGTACAATTAATGTATACTAATTTTAAAAGAGAGGAAAAAAAAAAGGTTACCAGCCAGACGTAGTGGCCCATGCTTGTAACCCAACACTGAGGAGGCTGAGGCAGGAGGATGGAGAGTTCCAGGCCAGTCTGACCTCCATAGAGAGACCTTGCCTCAAAACAAAAGTGACAAAAAAAAAAGGTTTAGGTTTGCTTTTTTTGGTGATACCAGGGTTTGAACTCAGGGCCTCATGGTTGCTAGGCAGGCACTCTATCACATGATCCACCCTACCAGCCCTGTTTTGTGATGGATTTTTTCGAGATAGGATGGATTTCTTGTGAACCATCTGCCCGGGCTGGCTTCGAACTGTGATCCTCCTGAGCTCTGCCTCCTGAGTAGCTAGGATTATAGGCGAGTCACCAGGTCTGGCAAAAAATGTTTCTGAAGCTTAGTCAAGATAACTATAATTAACATATACATTATTTTATGTATCATTAGAATTTCGATTCCTTTTCCTGTAAAAATAATTAACTTATTCTCTTCTGAGATTAATAGAGGTTTCTTTTTTTTTAAATTTATGTTTTGTTTGTTTCTTTTAGTAGAAGTTTCCTTTTTCTTTTTTTGTGGTGCTGGGGTTTGAACCCAGGGCCTTGAGCGTGCTAGGCAGGCACTCTACCACTAGAGCCACACCCCAGTCCTTATTTTATTTATTTTTAAAGGCAGTCTTATGACTATATTTTAGTGATTATGTAGTTTTTGTGTTTAAAAGAAGCCTTATTAGGGTGGTAGAGCACCTGCCTGGCAAGTGTGAGGCCCTGAGTTCAAACCCCAGTAACTGCCCCCCTCCAAAAAAAAGAAAGAAACATGATCATAGCACAAAAGTCAAATACTGCTACGAGAACTGTGCACAAAATGAGTTGTTTCCAGGATTCTAGAACCCTTGTAGAGGTCTACAAGTCCAAGGACAATGAACTAAATGACACTGGAGTCATGAGACCTGCTTGCTTGTCAGTGTGAAATTTGCTGCTTTTCCTTCACATGGATTCCCACTGCTGCAACACCCTGGGCTTCCTGAACAAGGAGAGCGCATTGATGGTTTACCTGTCACCATGCTGTCTCCACCCTGCCCAGATTTGCCAGAGCCTCCCTAGCCCACTATCCCTGATTTGTTGGTGTTGTGTATAGCTTCTGTTCAAAAAGAAAACACTGATGCGATCTGCCAATTCCATTTCTGAGTATTGTCAGCATGAAGAGAAATTTCCAATGGCCCTCCAAAGGGTGGCAGAGATAAACAAACCAAGATTGAGTAGGAGAAAAAGGCATGCAAATATATTAGTGCAAAGGGAAAAGTCACAGCATGGGGGACACAGGAGTGATACATTGATGGACTCAAATTATGTCCAAACTTGTATACTCCTATTTCTATAGGGGCAGGGGAGGATGGGGAGCGTCAGTGGAACCAAGTGTTTTTTAGGAGAACTCATTGGGTTCGGAGAACACACACTACAGCCTGGTACAAAATCTGTTTGGCTCACAGAAAGGACAATGACTCTCTATGGGACCAAAATAGAGGACAATGATGTGTGACAAAAGGCTTGTCAGGCTGTGTTGGTAGTCTTCAGTCTTTCTTCCTGTGAAAAGAGTTTAGTTAATGGAAACTCCAGGAAGGGACCTGGGGTAATTATTTTCATCCTTGGGGGTCCAGACTTTAAGCAGTCAAGGGAAATTTGCAGAAAGCTTGTCCCTGCCCTGGGAGTGGGAGAAAACAGAGAAGGTCACAGGGACCTTCAGACTGAGGTTCTAAGGCCCCCAGCATATCAAAAGGGAGGTATTGTTTGCTGAGTTCCAACAGTAAATACCCCGAAGAATTGAAATCAAGGACATTACGATATATTTTCTTCCTTCCTTCCTTCCTTCCTTCCTTTCTTTCTCTTTTCCTTCCCTTCTCTCTCTCTCTCCCTCTCCCCCTCCCCCTCTCACGCTCCCTCTCTCTCTCTCTTTTCATTCCTTCTTTTCTTCTTCCCTCCCTCCCTTCCTTCCTTCCTCTCTGATGCTGGGGACCAGGACCAAGCACTCTACCACTGAGGGACACCCCCAGCCCCAAGAAGAGATATTTGCACACCCCCTAATAACAGCATTATTCACAAACCCAAAAGGTGGAATCAACTTGATCCATGGATGATAAGCAGATAAGAAAAATGTGTCATAGTCACCCAAAGGGCTATCTTTGGCCTTAAAGAAGGAAGGGGATTCTGACCCATGCTATTTACTTGAGGACATCATGCTAGGTGAAAGTGGCCAATTACTAAAGGACAAATACTAGCTGCGGGTGCAGCTCAGTGGCAGAGCACCTGCCTAGTGTGTTCAAGGCCCAGGGTTCCATCCCCAACACTGCAAATAATAAGAAGTGGTTTTAAGACCTGGAAAGAGATGGTGGTGTCCCTAGCACAACAGTGTGAATGCGTTTAGTGCACAGCCTGTGATTTTGTGAATCTGCTTTGGTCTTTGTCCCCATTTCCTGGCATACAACTCCTAAAATCCTTGGAATCTTCCAAATGATGAGTGTCTTTTTGTATGCTAATGTTGACTGCAGGCTGGCCACCCTAGGTAGCTTCAGGATGGGGGCTGGTGACAGGAAACACCAAGGCGGGATGAAAGGGTTGGGACATTCAGACCCACCCACAACCTCGTGGGAGGGGAGAAAGGCTGAAGGCTCAGTTGGTCATCAATAGTCGCTGATTTAATGAATCTGCTCTTATAATGAAGCCTCCATAATAAGCTCAAAGAACTGGATTAGGAGGGATTCTGTAAACCAAGCACGTGGAGGGGGCGT